TTCGCAGCGGCGGCAGCCGGGCCCGGGGCTGCCCCGCGGGGAGCGGCGGGGGGGGGCCCGGGCGCTGGCGGGCGTGGGGGCGGAGGGGGAGCTGGAAATCTCGGTAGCCTCGGCCAGTCCCAGCCCCAGAGAGAGAGACACACACACAGAGAGGAGGAGAAGCCGCCGCCGCCGCATCTAGGAGCATGAACCCCCCCCCCGCGGCAGGTCGGACCGCCTCGGCTCCATGGTGAGGAGGAGGAAGAGCCCCCCTGGGCCCGAGGAGCCGCCGAAGGGGTAGGATGGGGGGCGAGCAGCCGGCCCGGCCCGGCCGCGCTGCCCCGCTCCGCTCCGCCGGGCTCGGCGGCTGCCTTTCCTCTCGGCGGCTGTCGAGCGCTTCCACACGCCCGAGTTTGGCTGGGCGATTTCTCCGCCAAAGGCGCCCCGAACCCCTTCGGGAGGGTGCCGGAGGGCTGCCGGGGGAGCCCGGCTGCCTTTTGGGCCGGTTTGGGGGGGGATTCGGGGGGGGCTTTCCCCCTCCCGCCCGCGGCACAGGTTGTTGGGTCGGGACAGCAAACGAAAGGGGATTTAGTAACAAACAACGGCGGCCATGTTGAGAGGAATTTCTGCAGCTAAACTTCTCCCCTCTCAGCCCAGGGATTTCTCTCCCTCTCTGGGGGGCTCCCTGGCCTGACTTTGTGCCCCCCCCTTTTCTCTCTCTCCTCCCCAACAGGATGACAGTGAAACTGGGAGAGAGCAGCGGGGAGGAAGGGGTGAAAAAGCTGGGCAAGAGAGCAGGAGGAGATGAGGAGTCCCTGGAAGAAGAAGGGGCAGGAGGAGGAGGAGAGGCAGCTCCAGGCAGCAGCAGCACAAAGAAAGAAGAGAAGATTATTAACAACAACACTAACAGCAGCCCCCCACCGAACCCCAGCTTATCGCAGGCCCCGGCCTCCCTCCAGCCCTCCCACAGCCAGGACCAGCATCATTTTCTCAGGTCCAGCGTCAGACCTCAGAGCAAGAGGCTGAAGAAGGATTCCCAGGCATCCTCTTCAGTTGGCAGCAGCACTGCTGCAAAAGGCAAAGGTACTGTATTTTGGCACCCTTAAAACATGCGGGCAAGGGGGGAGGGTGGGGGGAGTCACCTGTGGGTTTGGGGGTTGTCATTCTCCTCCTGTAGATGCCATCTTTTGTTTGGTTTGGGGGAAGGTGGTTTGGGGCTTGTTTCTCACAGTAGCTGAAATCTTCTTTGTGTCCCAAGGCTTCATCTTCTCTGCTGCCCACTGTCCTCTTTGCACTTGCAGAAATGGGGGGTTTGGATGTGTCTGTGGAGGAGGAAGAAATTTCCATTATTGAAGCAAACCTTTAATTCCTGCATTTCATCTCTCTTGAGTTTTAGGAAATTCCTGTATTTTGGTTAGGAAATTAGACTCTAGCTAGCTGTGTAATCAGGTGGCTGCACTCTGAATTCTGTTCTTGGATAATAACAAAATACTCATGGGGCGCTAGTTAAAAAAGGAAAAAAAACAACCCACAAGACATTGGTGATTTCCTGCAGTTATTTCTATGAGTGTTTTACCCCAAAAAACTGTTTTGGACACAGCTATGAAATACACATACTGACATATTTGTTTCTAAGGTTTTGTGTGTCCCGCATTACTGTTTCAGAACAGTTTGGACATTTTCATGGAATTTGAGTTTTTATTAAGATTGTTTTGTATACATCTGACTGTCTGTATGTACATACATGAATATACACATGCTTTTTCACTTTACATTGTAGATAAGAATTCATTTTTTTTCAAAGCTGTTTCTTACTTGAGTAGCTAGAAGACAGCAGAGGTGTTGGAATATCTTGGTGTTATGGTGTGTGCTCAGCAGTTACTGGATGACACCTGGCACTGTAGTTGAGCTGTACTTGAGACTCATTTTGGATACCTTGTGCAAAAGTACGCAAGTGTTATTTTCTGTTAACTTTTGAGGAAAACAACACTCGGAGATGCCTTCAACATTTGAAATGACAAAGTTTACTCTTGTCTGCTAAACCAAAATAAAACTCCGCGTAGCATAAATGTGTCTTGGAGATTACCTCACTCTTTGGTCCATTACAGTGGTATGTGCATGCTGGACATTAGGTAAACATTACGAATTATGGTAGTTTTGTGTTACAGTAATAAAGCAGTGGAAATCGTGATATTTTAGTTATTGCCATATCACGAAAAAATTCTTGAACTTGGTTGCTTGACAGTTTATATAATTGACTGAAGTATTTTTTAATACCTTAGTAAGTCATCTTTAATCTCTTAAACTTTTTGGTTTAAGTTAAAAGCTCCTGTGTGTCATGTTGGAGGATAGAACAGAAAGGCCTTCGTAATTTTTCTCCCAGTTGCATTAAACCAAATAAAAAAACAGATGGAATACCCAGAAGTGTTTAGCTACAGATAATTATTTCAATGGTGGTAAATAGTATTAAATACAAGGAGGTGTTTCTTTGGAATACGTGTTGTCCGTGATTGACAAGTCGAATATATGCATTTGAAATTATTCCATTGCTTTGAAAGTGTATGCACGTGTGAACAAAGTACATGTATCTTCGTGTACGTGTATATTCATGTTTGTATATTTGTACATAAACGTTCATTTCCAATTCTAGAGCAGCAGAACGATTTTTAACTAGGTGTATCAACACAATTGAAAAGCAAACTTAGTTTATTTTGCAATTCAGATTCCAAAATAACCCTAATAAAATTATATACAGAATGGAAAATATTATTTCAATAATTGGTAATAGATAGATAGTGTTTGTAATCGCTGTACCTGACTATGTTGTCAGGTTTGGGGAAACTTCTTAAATCATTGGGGGTGACAGTCGGTGGTAGAATTATGGTTATGCTTTCACTTTTTGAATTGTAAGACCAGCCACAGCTCTGCCTGGCTAGTTTTGAAGTGAATGCATTGAAGTTGGTTTCTCTGATACAGTTAAGATTATAACTGTCAGATCTTGGAGAACAGGGCCACAGAGTGGGATCTTTTCTGATTTGAGTTCTTTACGTTCGGGGATGCATACTGAGAAGTTTTCCAGGCTTGTCTGAATTTTCCCTAATGGAATATCTTGTGATCAGAATTTATAGGGCTTTGCATTCTAAATGAAGAGTCTCACAGAGCTAGCTTCCAATAGAGAACTAATTGAAGGGTGAAGATTACTAATAAAGGTTGAACTTAAATCCTTCCATTTGCTCTCCTACCAACTTTCTCCTCCCCCTCTAAGTAAAAAAAAGCTTGAATGCATGTGCTTTGGATCAGCTCTGAAATCTGGAACCTTTTCCATTTTGCATGTCACAGTCAGGGTGATAGCTGCAAAGGTAATTTTAACATTGGCCAGCAGGAGTGGCTAGACCACACTTATACTTGGTCCAGTGGAACCAGAAACTTGTTTTTGTCATTGTCTTTCAATAATGCTTTGTAACCCTTAAAATTGTATTAAAGTGGTCCTGCTTTTACAGTCTGTGTATTCTAAAGTGAAAACTCTTTCAAAGGCTATTATTAAGGAGGGTAACCAATAAACTTAATTTCATTCAAATTATAGTTAGTCAGCAGGCATTGGCTTGCTATATCCTAATCATGCCTTTAAAAGAGTTTTGAAAGTAGAATTTTTTTTCTGTCTGTTGCAGATCCGTTTTTACTTTTGGCATTTGTGCTTTTAGGGTGCTTCTTTGTAGCAGACAAATTATTGATAAAGTAGACTTAACTGTAAACTGTAGGAAGAGTTTGCCCACTCAGCAGCTGCTGACTTTTCAACTTTACCTCACTGTGGTTCAGGGAAGACTGTTAATAGTAATTCTCAAGTTCTGCCTAGTAGAATGTATAAATGTATTGCTAAATTTCAGATTACCCTGATGTAATCTTTCATTGGATCTTTGGAGTCTGTCTCTTGTCTTTTGTGTACTGAGTTGCACTTTTGAATTTAGGGCAAAAATTACATAGAAAGTAGCATAGTAAAAGGAAGTTTGAAAACTTTCACTTAAATAGCCAATCCATTTTTAATTGCTGAAGGGTTTATCAAATTTCCTGCACAAATATCTAAAGCTGTGCATTCTTTTTAGAATTATTATTATTATCTTATTTTCAAATGCTGGTCATCTTTTTATTGTATTTCAAGTTTGTAGTCTACACCTCAACCAATGCACACCTTTTGAAATATGAATGCTTGGAAGTAAGTCTTAAAGTAACTTGCATGAAATCCGAGGAGGAACTTGAAGGAGTAGTGGGCTGGAGGCAGTTTATGATGAGAGTTTAAAAGCAGGGAGGTTCGTTAAGGGAGAGGAAGCAGACCGGTATAAGGTTGCTGAGAAAGAGGGATTTCTGAGAGTTTAGTTCTCAAATACGAATAAGGCACATGGTTGCCGAGCACAGGTTTTAAGGTGTGTTTTGGGGCTTTTTTCCATCAAGCGAGAGCGGTTAGAATATGCATGTATATGTTGTGACCACATTGGTAAAAGCAAACGTGGAATACATTGCGATCATGTGCTGTAGATTTAGTTTGAACTAGAGTAGAGTGTTCCCATTTCCGTGTTTTTATCCATTTTCTGAATGCAGAATGAAGTCAGAAGGAAATAGTAAGAAAGTCTGATGGCAGTGAGCTGAAGCTTGAAGATATCTTTCATGCCGTTACTCTAGATTTATTTGTAAAATGTGTAGAATGGCCCAAACAAGTATTTGGATTTGTTTTGCAGTAATACGGAGTTTGTTCTTGAAAAAAGAATTATTCAGCTGAAAGCGTGAATTGAATTAAAATGTTCCATCTTTTGGCATTGTATAAAACTTGGAAGAAGGCAGTCCAGTTTGTTTCAGCCCACCAAAGTTGCATGTCCCATAGCATGTGGATTAAATTAACTATGGTCCTTTCCTGTGGAGAGGATGTATATACCAAGATACCCAGCGTATGTACTTACAATACAATTTTACTGTATCTTCCCAAATTTGTATGCTGCAGAATGTATTGTAACCTTCATTTGAAATGTCATTCCTCCAGCATTATTTCTCTAAGGCATAAACAACTGTTTAAAAACTACTGCCATGCTCCCTTGTTCTAATATTCTTCTTAATTCTGTCCATCTCATTTGCACTTGGTACTTTTCCTTCCATCTTACTCTGACATGCTTTCATTCATTCTTTGCCCTCCCATTTATCCCAGTTCTCCCACCCTGCCTTTGAAAGTGGCTCAGGACCGGAACTCTACAGTATCTCATCCTGCACCACAAGAGGAGGATTTTTTTTCCTGTCCCCTGTGCAATAGGTGCTGAACTTTGAGCAGGGCTGCACAACCATGTGCTTTAGATGGAACTTCATACTAGGCATTATGGGTGTTTCTGATGGAAGAGCAAGAGAATAATGATTTACTGGGGGAGTAAACAAATTTATAATAAACGTTGTTTATTTTTTACAGCTATGCTTGGTTAGTTCAGATAGTGCTGCATTTGATAGCTTAAATATACTGTCCGTAGAAAAGCAAGCCTTCAGTATAGTTTTGTTCATAGACTCCTGTTGATAATTGACACTGTATACGTTTAAACACATTCAACTACATCTTGGTTGTGCAAATCTTCTAAATAATAAGAGGTAGAAGAAGCTAGACTGTCTGTATCCTTGTAGGACAGTTACCTGTTGTGTTTAAAAGTTCGGATGTTAATTCATAACAAGAACACTATATGGTATAACCATGCAATATGGCATAAGCTGTCCTAGACTTACCCTTCTTAGGAGTCCATGCTATTTACTGTGGAGTCGTAAAAGGTAGAAATTTGTTTTCCAGTTACAATGTTAGTACTCAGAATGAAGCATTGGCTTGCAGGGAGTGTGGATGTGGTCCAGTCCAGTGGTTGGGTGATGCAGGATAAGTTGACAGAGTGAGAATGACCATCTTGTCTTTGTCTCATCTGCAGTGTTCTCCTTTTATAAATGATTTTACTTAGAACTAGCACCTAAGCAGATTATTAGAGTAAGCCCCCTTCCTCTCTCTGAAGTTTTAAATAATCTATTGTTGGGAATTACTGATCATCATCATCTGTCATTAGTGAGGGGGATGTCCTCGATAGAACTGTTCTGTTCATTTAATCTTTCACATACAACTAAGAGGAAATCTACTGAACTTTATATAGTCTTATTAGAATTTTAAGTCCTCACTGATACTTTTGCTTCTTATGCTTTTTAATAATGAAAACTTCACGTGTACCAAGTGTACTGTACAATCTTCAGAAATCCCTTGATAAGATCTGAACTTTAGGCAGCTGACTTTAGGTTTTTACTTATTTGAGTACGTATACAGAGTGATGTAAAAAAAAGCCAAATCTCCCCCAAAACCCCAAACAAAAACCAGCCACCCAACAAACAAAACCCCCAAACCCCACAAACCTAGTTCCTCTGAATGGTTTCTCAGAAAGTTAGAGGTCTCTGATCAGAATAGTAACTCTGGAATAGAATCCTGTACCTGTCTCTTGATAAAGGATGTCTTTTTTGGGAGCTAGTAGCAACAGGAGATGGTAGGTTGAGATTGAGGACTGGTGTGTTTGAGTTCCCCCTTCTTGACTGAAGATTTTATCTGTAAAGATCTGTATTTCTTTACCATGCAAATTGTGATATTCCAATCTCTCATTTGCAAAATAAAGAAGCAATTTTTTTGTCTTAAAATTGTTGGTTTTCTTCTCAGCCATCTTATTAAAGTGCTCAGGTTTTTCTTAAGGTTTCCTTTTTCATACAGAATTTACCTTCACAGTACCAGAATTAAATTGCTTAACTTTCAATTATTTTATCAGTGGCTGATGAAGGTTTTGGGAAATAGAGAAGCTGTTTATTTGAGAAGTTGTTTTTAAGTGCATTTTCTTTTAGATGTCCAATTCTTTTTCATGTTTTGCCTTACGTACTTCCCTGTGGTGACAGTAATTTTCTTCGAAAGTGTCAAATAGTCATTCCTAGAAATAAAAGAAACATTAACATAAAAAAGGTCACAATGTCATGTTTTATATCAACTAAATATTTATTGTACGCAGGAAAAAAAAATGTACTTTCACACATTGTACTCTCTTCCAGGTTTGATTTCAAATGTTATTTGTTACTTGACCAAACAGCTTTTTTAGGATCTGGAGAAATATGGTTTTGTCCTCCAAAGGAGTTACTTTCAAATTGCAACTGAATAGTTACAGTTAAGATTTATGTACAAGTCTTTCAAATCTCTAAAGCATAGTAAGCCTATAACAGTTGATTCTTCTGGTACTCTTTTAAAAGTAATATTTGGATTATCAAACTGGAATATCCTGGTTCTTGAATGAGAGAGAGAGGGGGGTGGGGGTGTGTGTGTGTGTGTGTGTGTATAAACACTGAGTTTGTCAGGTAAACAAACTGTTTAATATAATTAAATTTTAAAAGGTAACTGAACTTTTTAAGCCTAAATGTGAAAGAGAACTGTGCTAATGTGTGTAAAAGTTTGGGAAACTAGCTGGGACTGCTGTATTGCACAAGCTGGATTTATAAGCAAATAAACTAAGGCAAGCCAATTTATCATGAGATAAAACACAAAACATAAAGGAGAGTAACCAGAAAAATGGAAACGGTAATAAGCATTCTTTAAATGAGCAATGTATGTTTAATGTTAAAAAGCTTCTGTTTTATTAAGTGCACAGCTGCATTGATAAGGGCAGTCAAATCCAAATAATACTACTTAGCAAAATTGAAGAGATTATATTTTGGAAATGTAAGTTACTGAGAATGGTTACATTTTCATGGAAAAAACCCAAGTGCACTTTTTGGGAGGTCTCCCTGGTTTCTGGATTAACATTCTGATAATCTGTTACAGTGTCAAACCAAGCATGTTTGGTTTGATTTCTGTTGTGAATAAATCACAAGTTTAAGGTGAATTGATGATGTTTTTTCTGATTAAAATGTCTTTGAAAGACTAATACTTTCAGAGGCGATTAAGAAAAAAAAAAGAAAAGGAGGCTTTTTTCTTCTGAATTAAGGTGAGGGAATGGAATCTTACTGCATTACATGTAGCTCTCACCTTCCTGCAGTTTCTCCACCCCATTTTCTTCTCTGTCCCCTACTTGAATAAACAGCAAATTCTCTTAGTTCCATCAGGTTTTATTTTCATTATAGTATTTCCTATCTTTGTATTTTTTTTCTGATCCATGTTTTTGGGGGGTGTTGGTAACTGTCAAAGGTACAATCAAGATAGCACTTCTGTGCCATTTTTCCAAAAGCCACACCAGGATTTGGGGAAGGAGAAGGGGTTAGGACTTGCTGTCCTTTGGATACCTTGAATTATCCTAGATGGGCTAAGTGTCAGAGATGGTGCTCCTTATGCTGAGGATCAGATTCTTGAGAATGCTGATCCACTGTCATGTGATGAACTAAAGTAGACATCTTTCAGGCTTTTTGTTACCACAGCTATTTTGGAGGCAACAGGATCAAGACCAAAGACAAGGATATGAAATTGTGTATATTTTCTCAGAGCTATTAGTTTGCTTTATTGGTCACATCAATGTTCAGCATTGCTCAGAAGTTCCCCTCAGCTGCAAAGGGGCAACTGCAGAGCACACCAGTGTATAAGCGTCAGAGAGTGTGTTGTCTTTAGCGGTTGCTTTGGTATATTCCTGCTTATCTGTCTTATCTCTGGAAATACAAAATTAAGCCATTGAAACCTTCTCCTTGTTATTTGCTTTTTGAGATTTTATTTCTTTAAAACAGACCTTGTTATTTGCCTATTGTATTTCAGGTGAAATATCTTGGGGGGGGGGGGGAATTATATAGATGAGAGCAGTGAAGGAGGAGGAAATTCTGAGTTCCTCCCTTATCGCTATCCATGAATCTTCCTCTTGGTTTGATACTCACTCTGGTCATGTTTGTTTGCAGCAGCAGATAATGGAGGGACTGCATCTGGTGGCACATCAGGAATTCCTCCCAACAATCCTGCTGGGAATTCCAAGTCAGCGGCAAGGAACCTGGGCTCCTCGGCTGGAGAGAAGGAGGAAGGAAAGAAGGTCAGACGGCAGTGGGAATCGTGGAGCACAGAGGACAAAAATACTTTCTTCGAGGGACTGTATGAGGTACATGTAGAGGAAAACAGCAAGCTTAGATGGCTTCATTTAGTATCTGGATATTGCTAAAGAAGGTTGATTGAATGGAGATTTACAGGAACAAAATGCATACGTACACATATACATTTGTTTGTCTATGCATATGTGTCTTTATAGTTGGCTGTAAACCAGCTGTCAATCACAGGCATATTTCAAAAGTGTCAAGCTTTTTTGTTTGTTTGTTTTGAAATACACAGGAAATATTTGTGAGTTTTATTCATGAATGTTTATAATAATTTCAGTTATTTTTCAATTATGGTTCTGTTTTAAATGAGAAATAAATACGTAATGTCCCCATCTCAACTTTCAAAAACAACACACTTAGGCTGTAATATTACCAAACAAGAAAACATGTCCTATTCTAATAAGAATTGTAGGCACTGTGTTTAGTCTTTCACCATGAAAAGGTTTGAGCCAGTTCAGTACTAGGGCTGAGAGACAAAGAAAATTTAGATCATCTTATCTTTTATCTTATATGATGTATATGATATATTCCTGGTTGTCCTGTTTCTATGATTATTTTAAGAGCACTTCTGTTATGAAAATACATATTAAAGGTGTAAGCAAAAGCAGCAGTGGTGGGTTTTCTTTGCACGTGTGCATCTTTTTAAAAATATTGGGTTTTTAGTGGTAGGCATAATTCACATGTATATGTTTTGTGGACAAAATGAACACTTAAACACTGTTTTCTTTTTTTAACTCCTCTGACTTGCAGTAATGTTCATGGGAACCATATAATTTTTAAGTCCCTTCATCGCTCAAAGAAAATGTAACGTGTTGGGGTTTTTTTTGAATGCTGAGGAAAAAGTTCAAAAACTTGCTCTAAGGTGGATTTGGGACTCTGTTTGGTCCCCCACTTCCATTCATTTTGTGTTACTACCTTTCAAGAGAGGTTTTCACTTTTTTTTATTTAAATCAGTTCCAGCCTTTTTTGAATACTAAGAAATTTTGTGATAGCAGGAGTTCAATGATAATGTATATGAAATTAAATTTTCCACTTTTGAACTCCAAGGATTTTGTAGGAATTAGCTAGTTTTAAAGGGATACTTAGATGTCTCATTTTTATTTTTACACTGAGAATAAACTTCTGAATGACCTACAGTGTAAAAATGTGTTTTCTGTAAAAGTTTTTTATTTTTGTTTTTTTTTTTTAAATACAATATTTTCCTTCATTATTTGAAACTCAAATTTTGTACTTCTAATAACTGGAACGTGAAATTCACTGTAAATAAAAGTGAAGCTGTTAAATATAATAAGCTTTTCATTCACCTTAGAAATGGAGGTAGGAGGGAGAAGGGGAAAATAGAGGAAAGTAAAGAAAGCTAAGTGAGAAAGTTGGTATTTTCAGTTCTGCTACTTACCACATTTACAAGTAAAGTGGTTTGTTTGGTTTTTTTTAAGTTTGCTAGCAACTTGCAGTTTCTATTTTGAAACAGTTCAAGAAATTGGAAAGTAATTTATTTGACATCTATAGTGCATTTTATATAAAATAAAGGAAACCAGTGTCATCCTTTTGCTGTTGAGTTCTGATACCCAAGAATTTTGTTTATGACCAATGAAATCTAATTTCCCACAAAGAACCCCAAAGTCCCTCATGTTGTTTGAGTTGTCTTATGACAAGATTCAAGTTTGGGTTTGAGTATTTAGATTTGTTTTATTTTTTCTTCAGCATGGGAAGGACTTTGAAGCCATCCAGAACAACATTGCCCTGAAATACAAGAAGAAAGGCAAACCAGCAAGCATGGTGAAGAATAAGGAACAGGTCCGCCATTTCTACTACCGCACCTGGCACAAGATCTCAAAGTACATTGACTTTGATAATGGTTAGTATGCAATGAAATGGGATTAGGATAGAGCTCGCAGTCTTGTGAGGGTTGGAGTCCTGCCTTTTAGTGCTGTCAGGTAGGGTAGGAATGGTGGAGATGAGAAAATAAATACTGAATAGGATGTCTTTGAACATGTCTTATTTTCGTTAGCATGGCCACATTGCAGTTCATGTTTTTTGAAAAATACTTCTCAAAAACTAGTATTTGTATCACTGCTTTTATATGAATTCACCACACCATAATAAATGCTGATCCTACTATTAGTATTAGGGAAAAGCCAGATTCAATAAAATGTTTTTCTATCCTCAAGAACACACCTTTGAGGACAGTTGCCTAAATGTTAGTCAGGCATGACTTCATTGAGCAAATTGACTCCAGCACTGCTTTGTGCTTCTTGGGGGAAGGTAGAAATAAATAGTCAGATGTAAGTGGTGAAATACTTGTTCACACTTCAAATAAGCCTGAAATTGTATCATTGGTTCAGTAACTTAGGATTCCCGGTGCCATATTCCCCTCTTTCCATTCTTTTCCCTCCTTCCCCTTCTTGTTGAATGAAAAGGAAATTGGGAAGTCATACAAACTGCTAGTGGTATTTTGTAAAAATAATAGTAATATATGATAATTGGTAGTTGATTTTTATCAAATGCATACTATTCAGTAGCAGGCAATGAGAATTCAAGTCAGTTTGTGGGTAGCCTAATCTGAATAGCGAGTTAAATCTATTTCAGAGCGAACCGATTTTACCAAGACCCAGTTCTTTAGACTTTTTTAAGGTATGAAGAATGTCAGTTCTCCCATTAGCTTGTTGATTAAATAAAGATCTCCAGGGCTTTCCTGTCCTTCCGATGCTATATTCTAAGTTGCATAAATCATGGCAGTTTCATGGTGGTTGAATTTTTTGTTCTTTAAAGAACTCTCCTTAACATCAGCAAAGATTTGCATAGTAAATTAAATCTATATGATTTGTGGCCAGAGCCTCTCAAATTAAAAATAACTCATTAATGAGAAACGGATATGACTAGAAAAAAGCTGAAGGAATGCAAACATAGTGTATAATGTAGTCTCTTTATGAAATTGTTTTGTCTGTTTCTGAGATTAGGTTATCTAAAGGAGGAGTTACACATGTAAAATACCTGTCATAAGGTGTATTTTTTAATTGCTTTTTCAAAACAAGACAGCATTTTAAGGTGAAACAAGTCATTAGTATTTTACTTAAAAACAAATGTTACAGCAAACACAGCATGGAAGTACTTTAAAAAAAACGAAGTCATGGAGGAACTTCATCTGTTTTCTGGGTAATGTACAGTTCTGTGTTTATACCTCTAAGGTCTGAAGTCTCATTGGCTGAAGGAATTTAAGAATTAGTGCAGTAGTTTGATTAGCTTTAGTATTGGTAGAGATATGTGTGGCTGGAGTTTGAAATTAAATGAGTCTGCAAGTCAGAGAGAACTGAATTCTTGACGAATAGACAAGAGTAAATATTTTCATCTGATTTGTAAACCACAAGACTGTCTTTCCTTGCTGTCATAGATATTTAGATCTATTAGCAATATTAATCTGCACATCATGGTGTTGATGAGAAAGGAGAAAAAAAAACTTGTTCAATAAAATATGTGCAATTCTTCATATGAAAATTTAGAATCTAGAATTTGCATTAAATCTCCCAGGTGCATTCATGTGCCCAGAAGACATTCTCTGTCTTCTGGAAAATTCAGACCTACTTCTTAATTTTCATATAAGAAGAGTTCTGTATGTGTTTTCTTGGGGGCATCTGGACATTTCCTTTAGAAACTGTAAACAGGTGATATTAGAGTTAGCTTTATTATGAATTAGTTTTATTTTGCATATTGAACTGTTGCATATTTGTTTAAATTCTGTGGAAGATGCTTTGGTTTTTCTGTAATCTAAGAAATGTTGCATTTCCCAGATTTAAGTCACCAAAGGAAATTGGTGAACCTATGTCTTTACAGTGTTTCTTGAAACAGAACTTAGTCTTACCATTGATGAGATGTTTGTCTCATCGTTGAAAATACAAATTATCTCATTTTCAGTGTTGAAATGAGTATCTGCAATGTAGCTGTGTAAGAGTATCTGCAATCTGCATCTCACTTAAACCTTTTCTGTTTTTCAGTGTTTTCTCAAGGGCTGAAAAAATCCTCACTGGAGCTTTATGGCTTAATCTGCTATGGGGAACTAAGGAAAAAGATTGGGGGATGTGAGTATGAATGACATAAAATTATTTTTATATGGTAGAATCAGAAGTGTCTACCCTTGAAGTTGGCAATGTCTAGTACAGTTTCACTTTTGAGTTATTCAGAATCTGTATTCATTGCATTCTATTGCAGTAATCTGTGGTACCGCTTTTTCATTAAATGTATTTCTTTTTTAAAGACCTTAGTCTGTTGCATTAGTCCCCTTTTTATTTGACATTTCTTTAGCTTTTGCTATCTGTGGAATGCAGTGCATGTAATACCCACAGATGACAGGTAAATGTATATGCAGCTTAGATTATCTGTCTATTTTATTATTATTGAAAACTAAGCAATTAGATGTGTAAATGATTTCATTTGCACCCACAATTATTTCTGCCTATGCAATCCAAATCTGGGGTGGTGGCTTTCTCTAAGTCATTCTCTAAATCTTTACTTATTGAACCCTGAAGATGAAAAAGCATTACAAATCATAAACAGAAATAACAACTTTACTGGCTAACCAACATACATTCTGACCTTGTCAATCCTGGAGGCTGGTTTTGTCTGCAAGGGTGGGTGTAGGCAGATGAGTGTATGCCCTACCAATGCTCCCCCATTTTCTAGAAGTTGATTAGTTGCATTAGCAAGATATTTGAGCTTAGGCTTAGTACCATGTTCGTAGCATCATAGAATGGTTTGGGTTGGAAGGGGCCTTTAAAGGCCATCTAGTCCAACCACCCTGCAGTGAGCAGGGACATCTTCAGCTAGATCAGGTTGCTCAGAGCCCCGTCCAACCTGACCTTGAATGTTTCCAGGGATGGGGCATCGACCACCTCTCTGGGGCAACCTGTGCCAGTGTTTCACCACCCTCACTGTAAAAAAATTTCTACCTTATATCTAGTCTGAATCTACCCTCTTTTAGTTTAAAACCATTACCCCTTGTCCTGTCACTACAGGTCCCACTAAAAAGTCTGCATCCATCTTTCTTGTAAGCCCTGTCTAAGTAAGAAGGTCTCCCTGGAGCCTTCTCTTCTCCAGGCTGAACAACCAACCCTCTCAGCCTTTCTTCATGGGAGAGGTTCTTTCAGCCCTTGGATCTAACAGGTCCATGTCTGTCTTGTGCTGGGGACCCCAGAGCTGGATGCAGTACTCCAGGTAGGTTCTTGCCAGAGCAGAGCAGAGGAGCAGAATTACTTCTCTCGACCTGCTGGCCACGCTGCTTTTTATGCAGTCTGGGATACGGTTCTCATGGTCTTTATGGCTTCCAGACTAGAGACAGCTCTAATGCAACTAGCTTGGAGAATGGGCAGAAGAACATGCACCGTATGCACTAGTCCATGCACCTTATCTCTGTATTTTTTTTCATTTGTCCCCAAGTTTTTTGTAGAGTCAGTTTTATATCATAGCGCATCTTCTACATGTTTTGAGACAATTTGTGAGACATGGAAAATCATCAAAATACTTTCACTTCTTTGTAAAGTCATACTAGCTGCAAAGTGAAAAAGACAAGAAAGCTTTAATGAGTGGATGTGTACAATTCCTAACAGAATCATGGTATTTTGGCAGATTTTTTTTTTTTTTGCTATATTATTTCCTCGCCTGAGATTTTTACTGTAATGTCATGAACAAGACTGTTGTGAATGTTCATACTGACTTTATTCTGTTTGTTCAAAGATCTCCAGTGTGTTAATTCATCTTGGAGAAGCAATTTTGAACTGTTTCATGACAAAGAAGGTGCAGAGGCAAGACAGATTGCATTGTCAGTAGAAATCAGCATTAGTGTTTCTTCCCTATGTCCACGTCTTGTCTTAAAAGCATCAACAGACCCTCCTTACTATGACTGGGAATAAGGTTTCACACAGTCACCATGGCAATGCATGCATACTCTGTGCTTCTGTCTTTTTATAACTTTGGTACTTGGTTACGTATTTTACCCAGTGTCGCTTGGAAAATTCTGGTCTCCAAGACCAAATGGGCTTAAGCCGCAAGCTTCTACAGCCAGTTTATGAGAGGTCTGTTTTGCAGCTGGTGAAACCTTGTGGTATTCCTAGTCCCATCTTCTCAGAAATTGAGATGACTTCTGTAGAGCTATTGAGACATGAAAACATGTCAGAATACTTTCAGCATTGCCAGAGGGAGGTTAATTGTTCAGTAAATAGATCTGGGCCTAACTATCATAGGGAATATATATCAAGTTACCATAATGTCCATTTAAAAATGTGCTGTATAATACATAGAAGAAAAGTGTGGGTTACATGTGCATTTTGTTATTTTTGTTTACTTTTTTTATTGCATTCAGTACTATGAGGTCTTGATGCTCTTTCATTACGCTGTGCTGCCTTAGCAACAGAGATTGAGCAGGAAGATGAGGAAGCTTTTCTTTTTAATACTGCAGTGTCAGATTAACGCCCAGCAACCCAAGGTGACTGTAGTGCCTAAACTAGGGTCATTTAATCCATGAGTAAAATGTAATTTTCATGGTAAGGATTGTATAAAGCTTGCACGTTACAAAACCAGAAACTTTTCAGAAAGGGTATGTTATAGCACATTTATGCACCTTAATCCTATGTAAGAATGAAATGTAATAGCCTTCAGAACAGAACAGGACACAAAAAAAGGTCATGACTATATCGCTTTAAATCCTAATTCACTGTTCTATCCCATTTCATGTAAAGGTATGGATGACAAGAACGCAGCTAAACTCAATGAGCTCATTCAAGCCGGGTAAGTAAGAACTTATTGCTGAAACTCTTAAAACTGGGTTGTTCAGCAGCTTGGTTGTTGAATTGGTGATCCAGAGTCTAGGGGGCATTTCTTACTTTGCTAGAGCTGTAGTTTCCCATTTTCCATTCTTTGTTTTATATGTGTTGGTTTTTTTCTCCCTTTTTCCATGAAGCCATTAATTGTTATTAGTAATAAATGATGGGTGGTTTTAAGAAGGTAATGAAATGAGAATTCTTTACAGAAGCTGACATTATAACTATATTGATTCACTACAGGGAATATAGAATCATAGAATTGTTTAGGTTGGCAAAGACCCTTAAGATCATCAAGTCCAACTGTTAACCTAGCGCTGCCAGTCACCACTAAACCATGTCCCTAAGTGCCATGTCTACAGGTCTTTTAAATCCCTCCAGGGATGGTGACTCAACCACTTCCCTGGGCAGCCTGTTCCAATGCTTGACAGCCCTTTCGGTGAAGAAATTCTTCCTAATATCCAGTCTAAACCTCCCCTGGTACAACTTGAGGCCATTTCCTCTTGTCCTATCGCTTGTGACTTGGGGGAAGAGACCGACCCCCACCTCTCTACAACCTCCTTTCAGGTAGGTGTAGAGAGCGATAAGGTCTCCCCTCAGCCTCCTTTTCTCCAGGCTAAACAACCCCAGTTCCCTCAGACGCTCCTCATAAGACTTGTGCTCTGGACCCTCCACCAGGTTCATTGCCCTCCTTTGGACACACTCCAGCACCTCAGTGTCTTTCTTGTACCGAGGGTTCATCTCTAAACAGTTCTGCCAACAGTGCTCAGGAGTCTTGACTTTCAGACCTGAAATGACACTTCCAGTACACCATAGGCTTCAGCCCTCTAGTCGCTTCTGCATCTACTTGACTTTAAGAACAAGTATTCTCTTTCACTTCAAGAAAGAATTGTGGGATTTGGGGGTTCAGTCTTGGCAATGTACTTTTAGAATACAGAAGGGGTTAGAAGCTGCTGTACTATTAGAAGTGAGGGAATACCTGATATATTTGTATGTGAAATTTTCTGAAGTAGTCCTTTTAGCATTTGTGTACTCTAAAGTGAAATCTCTTTCAAAGGACATTATTTTATGGAGTATGATTATTAAGCAGGCATCACTCAGCAGGCACTGGTTTGTCCTAATCATGTCTTTAAAAGCAATTTGAAAATAGTATTATTTTCTGTCTGTTACATACACCTTTTTACTTTTGGCATTTGTGCTTTTAGGGTGCTTCATCGTAGCAGACAAATTATTGATGAAATAAACTTTACTGTAAACAGGAGGAAGGGTTTGCCCACTCAGCAGCTGCTGACTTTTTGACTTGACTTTACCTAAAATGGGTACTTGTTGTTGTGCCTTTGTATTGTTCACAGACTGAGTTTCCAAATGAGTTCCTTACAGTTTATTAACCTTTAATCTCCTGGGAGATGCACTTTGTCCAGTCTGCTGTTCTGTTGCAGGTCTTGAATGTGATTATTTATGAAATCACTCGTTCCTTCTTTTGTTAACTGTGAAGTTTGAAATTAGAAGAGAAATTGCCCTTTGGTTTGGGTTTTGTACAATTAAGAAAATCTTACCAGTAAGTTTTTTCATATAACAAAATGATTCTTAAAGCCAATTACTTCTTTAAATTGGAGTTATCAGCTAAAATGGCCCTGGGATGAGCCTTTTTTCCCTAGTGTCCTGAATATTTGTAGAGTTCAGGGTGTAGGATGTCGTTTTGGTCTCTCTGTTGTGCTGGAGAGCCTTTCTAATACTGTGTCATCCAAATAGACTAAACCATAATAAACGAGACTGATGAGTTTTAGCAAGCTGTAGCATCAGTCTAGCACTTCACATGATTAAGGCCTTAGTTATTCTTCTTAATTGTTAATGAGGGCTAATGATTTCTGTGAAGTCTAGGTGTTTATTCTGTAAAAGCCAGTCTTGTGACAAACCATTTTGAAAACAGGAGTCTTTGCATTTGAAAATACTAATGCTAATCTTCTAACCGAAAACTAGAGTGTACATAATATTAAAATTCTTAGGCAGTTCAGAAATAGTTGCTCTTGTATAGGACTTTTGTCTACGAGATGGAAGACACATCTTTGCTTCCGTTTTTCTCCTGCATCTCTTACCCAATTGGTGGGTAAACTTTGTCAGTCGAAGAGGAGCAAACTGTGCGGGGAAACAATGTTCACTTTTTCATCTTCATTACCACCTGGATGTCTACATCATCTTAATTAATCCCCTGCATGTGCAGGGCATCCTCATATCTCACACAAGGAAGCACATTGCATATATCCCATTAGATTAAACTTTCCATCTTGCTCAGTGATGTTACAATTCTATGATCCTCCTCTCTTATTTGTAAGCAGTTCTTTTATTCAGTTCATAACACGTTTCTTTCAAGCGTGGTAGTCCTTCTTTTCCTCTGAGTGCAATGCACTTTGTAAGGCTTGTCACTATGTTGAAAGTCTTGAGTGAAAGTGAATCCAAAGCGATTAAAAATGGGGACTGTGAACATGCATTATTCTGATGATCTTTTCCTGAAGTAGGTAAACGTTAGCCTTGTTTAATTGGTAAGAAAGGTCAAGAGAGGCTAAGATTGTGAGGAGCTACCTGGCAATTTATTTGCAGGACGACTCTAGACCCTGGAGTTACATATTCTAATTCAGTGCTTATTTTGCTTATGTTACACATCATCTCTGGCTTTCTGTGATAATTACATGGTGTATGGTAAAACAAATGACCCTGTGAGGTGCTCATAAGAAAACCATATTTAAAGTCTTCCCAGTTGAGCGTATAACACAGGTCACAGATACTAAATGGTGCCTGAAAACTTAATCAACTAGCAGTTTCAGGTAACAACAAAATCTTTGTGTGAAATGTCCCTGTTTGGTCATTGAAGTTAAGGCCATTCACTGGTATACAGCTCTGTACTTGTCTTCAGAATTTCAGTAACATGTAAAATCAGGCTAGACCATAGCCTTTGGTACAGTTGTAGCTGAATGAATTGGAGATCTTTATCAAAGTTTAGATATTTATAAATGCAAGGGGAAGATAAGAATTGTTCTGTCCAGTTTTGTAACTGGTTTGAGTAGTTTAGCATACTCATGTCAACACTGGCCCACACGAACTGCTTGAAGAAGCTTTCAGAATCGCTAAGCAAGACAACTACGAAACAAAGCTCCCTTAGAAATTACAGGGAATCTGAGTAACTTTCTGTCCAGTCCTTTGTTGCTAGCTTTTTATTACAGCAACGATATGTCACTGGATTGTGTGATTAGGATATATAACAATGAAAAAATATTTCTGGCAGTATATCAGAACTGCTCAGAAACCTATTTAGATAAACTTAAGCCAAAGCTTTTTTGTTTTGTTTCACTTTTAGGAGTGAAACATTTTAATTTAACTTAGGTTTTGTAACAATCTTTACATTTAGTAAAAAAATAGATTTGAAGAAATATAAATAGTTTCTGGATATGTTTGTAATAAAAAAATAGATTTGAAGAAATATAAATAGTTTCTGGATATGTTTGTAGATCTGTAGGATTTGTGGATGGGTTAAAAAAACCCAAACAAACCACAACAAACACGTAATTAAAGAAATACTGTATATACGCAATGGTTAAAGCACAGTACTAGTGTTAGCCTGTCTGTTAGCATATGTGTTTTTGCCCCCCAACCTGAGAGGCTCTTAGTATCACAAGTAAGAAAGACCGTTAAAGACGGTAAAGAAACTTTTAACACGTATTGATTGATCTGGCTGGTTCAGTTCTGGGTGTGCTTTGTGTGGAGTGGGAGTGATCCTTCATTGTCTTCGATTTCCTTGTAAATGCTGTTGGGCATGCTGAGGGGTATTTGTAACTCCCTAAAAATCTTGATAATAAAATTGCAATTCATCCTGAAAAAAATTGTATACAAAAAAGATCTTTTTAAGTAGGTAGAATATGCTCTTGGTCTCAAGTTATACTAGTAGTTCTTAATGCATATTCAGTAGCATAACTTTTTTTAAGATTTACCATTTTCTGCATTTGGAGACATCCAGGATCTAGGGAAGGGAAGGGAAGAGAAGGAAATAAGTATTGCTAAGATAAGAGTAGTTCTGTTTCAAGCTGTCTCATTTTTTATTGTGCTTTTCTTTTAAATTAGTAGAACTATTGTTTTTCCAGCCTCCCAGCCATGGATTTCAATTAGGAAACTACAGTCTCTAAATATATCTAATTTTATATTAGTTTAAAGCATAACTTATTATCAGACTCTCCCTAGTTTGTTTGAAGCCCATCATACTTTATGGAAAAGGGAATTCGGGGAATTATTTCTGACTCTCCAAGCACAACACCTGAATCTAGAGAGCTGGGATGCTACTTCTAAAATGTATTTTAGGGAACAATGAAAGTAAAAGTATTGATGGCTGTAGTCATGAAAGAGTGCTGTAGTGCCAGGGTGAAAAGTTCCATGTGAAGTTTTTAATGTTGTTTTGCCCAGTTTCTGTGGTCTGTGTTCTTTCATTTACTGAACAGTGTACTTTGCTAACTTCTAAACTGTGCCGTTCCCACTCAGTACTTGGGGAATACCATAGTTCCTGCTCCTCTTTTAGAGCTATCAGCAGTTTTGCATTTGTCTTCTTTCCTCCAATATGATTTTTCTCCTAGATTTTTTTTTTTAGTATTTTTTCTGTAATATGTTGTTCACACTTCTTTTCTGGCTTTTATCCTAGGTTTTGGTGGGTGGTTTGTTTGTTTTTTTTTCCCCTCTCTGCCTTTTAAGCATAGCTACAAATGCAGCGAGGAGCTTATAATGCTGCTCCATTGTTCATGTGTGAGCTGCTCTGTGGTGGTAACAGATAGTTGGTATCTGCAAGCCAAGGTGCAGCTGAGCAGGTGGTAGACAAATAGATCAGGAGCAACTGCCAGGAAGCCTGACTCAATAATAAATGCTTTATGACCAACTAGTTAGGCTCTTTAAGAGAAATGGAAAATATGAAAAATGAACAGCAGTGCTTTTCTTCTTCTTTTTCTTGATCAAATTAGTTCAGCTGTTCTACATGGATCAAGTAGGCTTTTGAGCATTCAGGCCCTTCTTTCAGTCACCTTCAAGTCATGTGATGGAACAATTTCCACAAAGCTTGTCTGTTTTATGTAGTCATACCAGTTAATCTCAGAAGAAATAATGTTCTCCCCACAAAGCCCTTCTCATTTATACCCTTACAGTGTTAAAGTTACAGTAATACTACTAATGCTATTTTTGACTCTTTACTTGAATGCAGCTACTTCAAGGGCACATTTGATAAAAAGGTGTTGCATTAGCTAAAATCATGATGCAGGAGGAGAGTCTCAGCTTGCACAAGTAGTCAAAAGAATTTGCTGTCCTAAAGTAGTAGTGCAATTTAGCAACCTGTTTCAGGGTGCATTGCATTATTGGATTTATTTTCGCTGGCTTTAGTGGATTGTGTGTGAGGCTATTACGAAACTTTCTTTTCCACTAGAATGGGGGGGACACATCTAGACGTGTCTTCACTAAGCAGAGAAATCATTACAGCAGTTCTGATTGCTATAATGCTGTAATTAACTCCTTGCAAGAGCAAGGAAGATGATAATCTTGGCATGTTCATGCAGCAGCATTGTTTTCCATAAAACTGTTCTATTACATTCCCAGACTTTGCGTTTTCTAGTAGTTGGGTGCATTCATGCATCCTATCATCTCAACATGAGCTTTATAAAATTGCTTACTGTGATGAACAGTGTTAGTGGTAATAGAGTAAATGTAGCTTTTGTTGAATCCCTGTAGTTAAAGGCAAAAGGTATTTGTTGTGAATCATGAGGATGTGTTACTTTAGCAGAAAACTGTATAACAGGAAGAGTGATTTCTAGGAGCTACAGGAAAAAGTTGAAGACCTTTAGTTATCAGCTGTTTTTTTAGTTACTGTTCTTTGAGGAAATAATAATAAGCACTGGACAAAGAAATCTATCTAGAGTTTTTATTTACTGCAAATTCTCTAGGTTCTGCCAAGTCCTTCAGGTTTTGTACCAGGCACTTTTATACTAGGCTGCTGCTTCTGACTGCTGGCTGAGACCAAAGTTTGGGCTCGTGAAGAAAAGTGGAGGTTCTCCACCTAAAGATTCAGACCCAAGAGAGAAGCTGTCCAAACATTGACCAGCTAAATTTGAGAGCAGCAGAATTTGTAGTCGAGTTTCCTGTCTTCAAACATTGCAGTCCCTGTTGACTTGACGTAAGTGAGTTTGGGTTGATTCATACTGATCTTGTCCTCACGTGTATTGAAACTTGGTTTGTTTACACATTAAAAAAAAAAAAAAAGAGGGTGCTAGCTGCAGATGATTAAAATTTTTTTTAGGAGATTTATTTTCTAAAATATGCAAATATGCTGATTTTCTGATAAAATTATATCTGTACTTTAATACAATGATGAGGATATTGACCCTCATTCATTAAGGCTAAGCTGTCCATTGCAATGACCAGGAGGAAGTTTTACATTTCATTGTTACATTATGTCATTGACTAGATATCCATGAGTCTCACTATGTCCTCCTCTAAGAGTCTTTCCACTGGCACAGATTGACCATTGTACTTGGGGGGACCCACTATCTTGTTGGATTCGTTTCCAACAATTCAAATTAGGGTTAAGTTGAAAGAGGGAAGGTAACAACAATGCCTCTGTTAGAGCAGCTGTAGTGTTGTCTGCAGTTGCAGATGTGGAAATAGGAAGCACTATTTAAAACCAGGCAGGTGCTCTTGGGTCTTTTTTATTTTTTCTGAAGTAGCACCATTGCTAGTTTCTTGTCAGCACTTGAGAGCCTTCTCCTCTCTTCATTACTTGAGCCATCACTACTTCTGTGTCAGAGCTTGTGAGAAAGAGTGAGGGCTAATGTATTCCCTCTAGCTTCTGGTACCTCAGTGCAGATTGAGAAAATTTGCCCTTCCAGCCCTGGGATATTCTGAATCTATAAGTTTACAGCTTAGTAATTGGAACTTTTGAGCTGCTCACCTCATCAACTCCATCCTCTCAGGTCTGGCTTCACTTCTGCTGCCCTTTTGTGCGTTTCCCTCATAGCAGTGCAGATAAGTGCTCTTTCTGCCTGATGTTGTCTTCCTTACAGCGTAAGAAAAAATAAGATCCTGCTGTAGGAATATTCTCCATAACTTCTTTCATTTTACTTGCAAGGATTTGTGTTCAATCCTGCTGTTTCTATGCTAGCTGATCCTTATTGCTTGAACTATTAGGTAGTAAATGCTGCCATCAGTAACTTTGTTGGTTTCAATGCCTGCATTTTAAGTCTCTAGAAAGAAAACAGGGCTGACTGAGTGAAGAAATCAAATAGTTCCACTGTGTGCAAAGAAGAATGGCCTCTTGCTTTTAAGGATCTTTATAGCTGTTAATGTGGTATTAAAGCTGAAAGACAGTGAAATCATACTGTAAAAGTTACTTTGTTCAGATTCCCGCACGACCTGTTAGACCTCATTTCTGCAACAGATGCGGTGTTGATATTCCAGAATGGAAGACTCTTCAAAAACTTCAGATGTTTTTCTTCCCATAATTAAGAGTTAGGAGTATAAAGAGGAGACTAAAGCAAAACCACTTGTCTTTTATGAAGAAGCTGTCTCTGAGGGTATTCTTCAACCGAAGTAACTTAATTCTAGTCCACTTCATAAAATAGCGGTCCCTTCCTAAGTGGACAGCCCAATGTTTCATGAAAGTCCGGAAGAAGAGGATCACAATAGTAGCATTTCTATAATGAAAAGTGAGGTGATAGAAAAGATTGAATGCTCTTGTGAATTAGCACTGCAAACCCTTATATTCCTTTGTTCATTCCTATAGCTGTGATTGTATTTGACTCTGTGTCCCTAATACGTATGTATCCACAAACTTTTATTAATGGTGCCTGTAAATACTTCTCTTTCAATGTATTCAGGGCTACGACTGTTCGTTACAAAGGCAGAAACCTTCGTATCAAAGCTCCGATGTGCAGGGCTTTGAAGAAACTCTGTGATCCAGATGGTAAGTAAGAGACGCTGGAATGTGAAAGGGTTTTAACAGATGGTCGGAAGAATATGAGAGAGAGTAGGCCTGTTTGGATGTGTACATCACTGGCAGGGGAGTTTGTGCTATTTAATGTTTGTGTTGGGCACAGATATGTCCGTATTGTCTTACTCTGTTTGCGTGTATAATCCCAGTAATTTCAGGGCCCACCCAGCTCTCTAAGTCTTGGACTACGTCACTAGCTAAATTGAAGAGGAAATAGCTATACCAGACAAGATTGCTACTGCTTTGCCAGTTGTGCAAAGTTTAGTCCCTTGTGCCAGTGAATAAGCAGTAGTATGTTGTTTAGCAATGAGCATTTTTTTTTTTTTTTTAATTTCTTCTTCCTTCCCCCCAATAAGCAGAATCAGTGCAGTTTAAAGGTCTGAAATACTGTACTTGTTCAAAGTTTCCAGCCACCTGATTTTTACACTGCTTGCTCAACTGGAAGCTCCAGTACCACTGCAGTGTCCAAGGAAATAAATAAAACTTATTGGAACGGGAAGTAATCTAAAGGAAGCAGGCTCCACTGGTGAAGCTGAGCTGCTGAAGTTGTCTGTAGGTGATGCTGATGTCTGTGATGTTTTTTTTCATGTAACTGAGCATACAGTGTTCTGATTGAGTTGTCCTTGCTTTGACCCATGCCCTTTGTGCTTCATCTCCCTTCAGGTGTTAGTGATGAAGAGGACCAGAAGCCAGTACGTCTTCCTCTCAAGGTTCCTGTGGAGTTGCAGCCACGAAATAATCATGCCTGGGCTCGAGTACAGAGTCTTGCCCAGAATCCACGGCTTAGGTAATGAAGAACTGATTGTGGTGCTCAGAATAGAATAGGGCAATATATGAGCAGCATTCTAGCATCTTCCTGTCTCTTCAGGGTGCTCTTTGCCAACTGGGCAGTTCATCTTTGATAGTGCAGTTTGCCTAAACGTACTTATTCTGAAGGCTTTGTCCAACCAGAGTAAATGAGAGTTGTAAACATGAGATACCAGACTTGAAAATTAGATTGTTCTTTATATCTTTTAATTTGAGTAGTGAAAGGAGCCACTAGAGTTGGAGATGAATATACTTCGTGCCACTTACACCCAGTTGTCAGAGCAGAGTGCAAGTAAAGTGGAGATATGCAGCACTAGTTCTACTAAAATTTGTATTGAATGTACCATGAGACAGAGTCACAGGGGAGGGAAGTAAAACTGGTCAGAGGCGCCTGCACCAAGACTCTGAACATGTCAACTGCAACACAGTGATCCTAGCAGAAAGGAAGGTATTTGTAGCTTAATCTCCTTCCTGCAAAATGTAGTTGGTGCTGTTGTTTCAGTGTCATCAATGGCTGTTCATCCTAGTACTTAGATCTAGTCCAAAACTCAGGGCAGAAAACAGGAGGCCTCTGTGATGTTGATTGTTCTTTCAAAGAGAGTACTTCAGTATAACGACTAAAGATCATGCAGAGAGGATAATGAAGATTTTTTACCATTAGGCTTATTTTGTAAAATGTTTTGGGAGCAAAAAGTAAATGTTTGCAGGGGGTTTTTTTATGCCCCTTTTTCTCTTTCTTCATGTGGTAGCTTTGTGCCTTGCCTGCACTTTCGCAGTTTAGCTAAATCTTGCCATCTTTTGCTATCTTCTTCTAGCCGGAGAAACTAATATCTTGAATCATGGCAATCAGATTTATCTGATAGGCTTTTAGATCTTTCTCAGTTGTGAGTTATATAGATTTTAAAGTTGCAGGATAACATATGTTTTTGTTTTTCTTGGGTTTTTTTCTTAGAGCTTGGGAGTGGTAGGTATGTTCTCTGTGCTTGTATTACAGAATGCCAGTTTCTTCCCTTAATTCCCATTCTAGCATTGAGGCTGTGATTTGAACCTCTGCTGAAATTTTTTCTCTGTTCCCTTAATTTGTTTATCTGGCATACAGGATGATTGTGGAGTTGCATCGGAAGGTCTCCAGCCTCATTGAGTTCCTGAAGCAGAAGTGGGCTCTCCATGAAGTGCGTATTGTATCCTTTTTCTGCTACTCTGTTCTGTATGCTGTGTCCTGGGAGCAATTACCTTCGTATTCTAAGTTCATTTTTGCCTTGGGAATGTGACTCTATCTCATAAATTTACCAGCCCTTGCTTAGTAAAGGTAGGGGTCAGTTTCTCAGCATCACTAATGGAACCTTTCATGGGAAAACCCATAATATTCCACTTTTATCCAAACTCTTCTCTGCTATGATCCCCTGAAAAGCTAGTTAGTAATAAATGAAGCTCCCTGCCTTTATTTCACTTCCTTAAACAGCGAGCTTACTCTGTTTCTTTGTAGATGGGAGACAGCCGTAGAAGCCTGGATGGTAACTGATAATTTTGTTTCCAGTTGCAGCAAAAAGGTTAAGGACAGATCTTTCCACTTGCTTTATGCAGTTCCACCAAATGAAGGCTTAAGCTTCTTGTCTAGGTAGCTGCTGCTGTCTGTTATGTATCTATATGCTGTCTGAGCCATACTACATTAGAGATTACCTTACCTCTGAACTTTGATCCATGGAGTAGGAGGATTTGTGAGTTAACAGCCATTCTGTTCTCCTTTTGACTGGTGTGCTATATCCTGTTCTTAGTCCTTTAATTCAGGCTTTTCTTTTTAATTTGTGAGTCTGAAAGAAGTAACAGCATGGCACTTGAAACTTAGAAGGATGTCAAAACATGGAGGGTGGGGGTTACTGCACAGAAAGGGGGGTCTGTTTTGCTATACAGTGACGTTGGGGTTTTTTACTTGGTTTTGTTGGGGTTTGTTAGTTGGTTGGGTTTTTTTTACCATTACAATGGTGTGTGAAGCAGAGAGAAGTAATTTTGTCTGGAACAGAGATTTAGTTTGTGCTTGTAGCAGGTCTTCAGCGTAGCCCTTACCATCACAAAAGGACTTAAGTTCTGATCATAGAGTCTTCATACCTATGCTGAATAGAGAATGTGTCCTTGATCAGCTATGTTTTTTTGTTTGGTTTGGGATTTTTTTTTTTCTTTTTTTATAACTTGCAAAGTAGGCTACCAGATGCTTTTTTGGAAGGGGTGCATGATTGTTGTATTCTTTGACGCATCTTTTTTAGCGAAAAACACTAGAAGAACGGCAACTTCAAGACTCCAGAGACTCAGAAACAAGAGGTGGCTTCTCAGAGGAGAAAGTAATGCTCCATCTCTTTCCAGGAGAGAATTGTACACTCACTCCACTGCCTGGGGTAGCCAGAGTGGTCCACTCCAAGGCTTTCTGCACAGTGCATTGGCAGGAAACTGGCAAATGCAAACAGAACACGAAAGACTCACACTTACTACCCCCTGCACAAATCCTAGGCATACAGAGTGGTCAGGGGACAGCTAGGGGACAGCTAAAATACACACGGGGAACAGAAGGTAAGGGTGTTGGAAGGGCAGAGAGCACTACGGAGTCAAGCAGAACCTCTCAGCCCACAGCTGAAGTTTCTGCAAGCACTGAAGATGGCGCCCCAGAGCCTGGCCTGGTGGAAGGAACAGCCGCAAATCTTGGCATCACTAATTCTCTCCAAAAACCGCCTTCTGGACTTCAAGATCCAGGAGGAAACCACGAAAAGCTGAGCTCAGTGGCCTTCTGTGTGGAGGGCAGGGAGGCCCTGGCTAGTGACCAAGCAGCTGTGCTACCATCGTGCAGCACAGCTTGTGCTTGCAGTAAGATCCCTGATGTGGAGGAACTCTCTCTGCTCGATCCATTCCCACGGTACATGAAGTCCTGTCAGGACCTGATCGTCCCAGAGAAATGTTCTTGCACAGACAAACTGCATGGGAAAGAATCTGCTCCAGCAGCTGGTGATACTTCTCCTGTGGCTTTTCCAAGCGGGAAGAGCGCAGAGACGTCTGACTCCTATTCACAGCTACCAAGAGGTGGTGTGGCTTCACCCAGCAGTGGCCCATCCAGATATGAAACTCAGGCTAGCCACAGCCAGGGCCAGCAGCTTGATGCTTGTACCAAGGATATAACAGATGCAGTAATGGAGGATTCTCAAGAGAAGCTGGGCTCCTCATTTCCACCTCCACCTCAGGGACAATCTAGTACAAAGTCTCTCAAGGATGACCCAAGCCGGCTCTCTCAACAGGTTAGAGAAGAAGGATGGAGTCTAAGAACTTCTGAGAGCCTTACGCTGGCTGAAGTCTACCTCATGATGGGCAAACCGAACAAGTTGCAGCTGGAATATGACTGGTTGGCTGTCTTGGAGCCAGAAACCCAGGATGCTAAGGAGCAAACATCCGAATCAAGTGCTGTTCCTGCATGTACCACCTTTCACAAGCAGAGACTCCTAAACTGCCTTTTAAAACTCATCTCTACTGAAGTCAATCCCAAACCAGTAAGTAGGTCTTGTTCATGCTCCAGATGCTAAACTCTTACCTGATCTGGGGAATAATTGCCCAGTCGTGTTTTCATAGTAAATCAGTGACCAGCCTTGTCAAGATCTTGGAGATTCCTGTGTTTAAAAAACAAAAAACAAAACCCAAAAAACCCCAAAACAACCCAAAAACCACACCACCACAACCCAGCTTGCTAACTTCCATTACGGAGTGGACTTCTCCTCAATATGCTGCATTTGCTTTTTACACTACCTTTTAATTTCTGGTTTGCTGGGAGACTCAATGGTATTACAGTGAACATTTAACGTGACTACTGAAAAGATCAGTCATGAGGTTAGGTTAGGTAGGTGCCCTCTGTTCTCTCTCAGGTTCAGAGAACCATAGAACAGCCCAGGTTAGAAGGGACCTTGGAAGATCATCTGGTCCAGCCTTTTGTCAGAAATGGAGCCAAGATGACAAAGGGAGCCTAGATGAGATTAATATTCCACTTGAAAACTGCAACCCTTAATTTCCAATGTTTATGTAGTTCAAGTTACACTAAGTGTAAGTGTGAAAATAATTTTATTTCTTTGGGATAGCATAGCCACAGTGATTTCTGTAAAAGTTCCCAGACTCAAGGATAGTTGTTTAACAGACCCAGAAAAATACTTTCTTCCTTAGGCAGACAACTGGGAATGAACTTGCTTTCCTTCTTGTGCATTGTAACCAATGTTTAAAATCTGCCCCTATGATACCTGGGCAGCCACTTCCACCAAGTGCAACTGGTTGAAACTTAGTAAAACATCCTTTTAAAGACCAAAAAGACACTGAATTCAACAGATGTGACTGAATGCCTGTGGTGGAGATACGATGAATTAAAGATGCCATTTGCATTGTATTCCAGCATAGGATGCAAATGTATCACTATTCCCAAACACATGTAGTTCTTTGATCTTTCTTTGTCGGTGCAGAGTTAACCCCCCTCAAAGGTCCTTTTGATCCTGATATTATAGACATAGAATGTAGGATTTTATAAATTTAAAACTATCTGTGCTCAGATACAGCTCCAGATATAGACCTTGTTTAAACTGTGAAGACTTTAAGACCAAAGACATATCTGTGACAATGTCTCCTCTTTTGGCATCCACTCTTACTTCTGGTGACATGTGTGACAACCAGGGATAACATGATTAAGCAATCACAACCTAGAAAGAAGGACATCTCCTCAGACTGGGGCAGAGAGGGATAGAAGAGAGGGGGAAAAAAACCAGCAGTTATTATTTCCAAGTGTTTTCCTGTCACTTTAACACTCTTGGTGTCTTAATGAAAGTAGCATAGTGCTACTGAAAAATAAAGTTCTTTGTACATTGCAATAAAAAGAAGTAATGTAACCTTGTATTTGTCAAATACTACTTTATACTTGTGTTTCAGAAAAAGAGATAGTCTTCTTACAGCAGTGAATGTTGTGGGACTGATAAATATTCAAGAGGCGAGGGTGATATTTACTGCCTAATTGGAAGTACTGTAGACTTTTTGAAAGTTCTATCTCTTAAATCCTCTGCATTTCATCAAATAACGACAGGAACAATAATATTTTTGCCACAGGGTACTTTGACAGGGGAAGGATTGATTGTCTAGATCCCTGCTATTTCTCAAGACAATATGTTACAAAGCCAAAACAGCCAACTGTGCTGTGGTTCATTCCTGTAAATGAAGATTATCAGCATAAAACATACTGTAGCAAATTGCATTGCAGTCAAGTGTGTGTGGGGGTAATTTTATGCCTGTGGTTACATGCTGATCCCTTAAAAAGGGAGCATTTTCTAGAAAAATGTTTAAACAACTTTATGAAATAACTGGATATGCCTGGAAAATCAGTAAAGCACCTTGCCATGTGCCTCTTGTTATTGCTGTATTACTCCTATGAAATAGGAGAAGGGATGGGAAAAAAATCAAAACTATTGGTCTCTACTTGATTAGAATTAGGAGCAAAACATTTTTGTCCAGGTGTACTTCCAACCAGAGGAGGCCTCTGGATGGTTAGACTTTATGAAAATTAGTTTTGCACTGAATTAAAAACAACACCTTTTCCATTACTGTGACAAATCTGTGTCTTTTTTTTTTTTTTTTTAATCCTCGGGTGGTCCAGCACAGCGTGAAGCTTGTTAAGGGTTAACCTGATTGTAACATAAATTAATGGTATTGAACTGATGACATTTAACACTGCTAAATGCACAGGAAGGGAATTTCAGTTGCCCACCACACACACACAGAGGTATTGGTTAGAGTACTTAAAGATATTGTAGTATGTCAGATTTATTTTTTTAAAGCTTCCTAAGTAGAATGAGTTTAACACTGTATTTGTTGTAACAGTACACAATATTCATTTAATGTGTGTACATTTTCAGATGCCCGAGATGAGCTCTGTTGCCACGTCACCTATAAAGCCTGCTCAAGAGGAGCAGTCACTGACTCCTCCGGGAAAGGTGATTGCCATCAGCACCAGGAGTCCAGGTTGTGCACGAAATCAATCTGCCCTTCGCAACAACAAGACTTTTTCTCCTGGTGCTGCTTCCAGCTCCTCAGGTGGGTATTCATAAAAATCCACTTCAAGAGATCAAACCATTAGTACCTCAGACAGCGATGAGTACATTCCAGTAATGTAACAGTGAGAGAATGAGTGTTCCTACTCTTACGAACTTAACTGTTTAAGAACATTGGTATGTGTTAATTTGCCTTACAGTTGTCCTAAATTCAATACTACTTTGAATCTTGAAAAACAATGCATGTCAATAACACAGTTGACGGTCCAGAAGAGCTCTCATGAGTGGCTCCTAACAGAATATGCTAGCATTTGTTAGCAGCTGAGTGATACAGGGTATGGGATCTCAAGGGAGTAAAGGCTTACAGAGCAGGAGAGTAAATTTATAGTGTAAAGTTCGTTGATAAAATAATTACTGAAATTTTCTGCGCCATTCTGCCATTATAAAATACGGAATGATTATGAATTACCTTTTCTTTTACTAGAAGGTACGTTGTTGTAACTTGTGAGCCCTAGCCATGCAGACCAAGAATTTCAGTTCTGTTCTTCAGTCCTGTTGCATTTGCCAGTGAATGTTTTATGATTTTATTATAAAGTCTGTGAAGGTGTCAGGGTTACTAGGAACAACTGTGATTCTTGTGCTGTCCTTTTCACACCTGTGCTGTAAGAAGCAATGAACCATGAGCAATTTACTGATGCTGTAAAACTTACTTGGTGCTCTGTGTGGTTTTCATTTTAAAATGGCATTATAGCAATTTTATCTTTGAAGCTTCGTTGTGCTTCCTTGTAGACAAGGATGTGCTTACTTAAATATCTACTAAAAAGCCAATAATTTAATAGATCAAACAGATAAATTGTTATCTTTCAGTGAGATACACAGGCTTGAAGGACATACCTTTTTTTAATCAGACTTGCAAGTACAATCAAACTTCCTTAGTCTGCGACATTCATTTTTATGAGATTGTACTTTATGCTTCCCTAATGCCTTGAAAATCCTTCCTGAAGCGTTTTAAGTAAAGGTAAGGATCATCCACTGAGGATTCTAGACAGAAACAGCAAGAAGATAACAATACTTTGTATCTGATCCCCTAGAAACGGACACCTGTTCTGTTTACACAGAGCTTCATTGATTCAAAAACTAACATAATTGTCCACGTTAGTCTTTGATTCACATCACTGAATTACAAGTAGAGTCATGTAGCACTGTGGTTTAACGTATAATGAAGCATGTAGTCTTTAGTGCAAAGTCAGGAAGTGAAAAATACGGATTATGTATTCCTGCTTTTGTACAGTACCAAAGATAGCCAAATTGGCTTCAGCTGAGCTGTTTGGCTTGAACAGGGGAACAGTAAAAATGTGTTCAGTACAACATCCTATCTAGTTAATTAGTTTAGCTTCTCAGCAGTTCTGCCTGGGGTAATGCACTCAGCTTAGGCCTCAGGTAATGGCATTCCAGAATGTCAAATGGATACCCAAGCAAGTCTGGTCTCTTCACCCTAAGTTGTGTTGTTTTGGTAGACAAATGGAATGCCTTTTATCAGCCCTGATAAGGGTGTTCTGGATCTAAAATGAGATTGTTTGTGGTCTGGATTGCAGTCTTTAGTATACAGTAATTATCAAGCTTCTTTTGTATCCTCACATACAGTGCTATTAAATGACTACAGTAATTTGGCTGTCAGAAAGCAAACTGCTAGGTTACTTCTGGTGATGAGTGTTCTAGGTGCATTCCCTCATAGACTTTGGTCCTGAGTCTGTCTAGGTGCTAACTGCTGTTTGGTTTTCATCTTTTGGGTTTTTTTAATTAAAGATAAATTGATTTGGCCTTCTCAGTAGAAGATAAAGATTAGAAGATAGCCTGTGTCCACTCCAGAAGTAGTGAAAGTATTGGCAAACCGACAGCTCCACAAAGGCCAGACAGCTACCTGGAGAGACAAAAAAAAAGGATAATCGTGCAAAGAGATTTAGAAAAAGTGAAGCACAGCTGTGACACAACATCACCTATAGTGCTTAAAATATCATTACATAATTACAGTAGCATCCCTTTATTGCTTTTTAAAAAGATAATATCATGTACTTTATCTTTTACAATTCTCTCTAACTCCTGGTCAGGCAGGAGGCACAAATTTATATGTTCTGCTTTTAATTGATTTTTAGATACATTGGCACACTGTGATTTTAACTGACATTCGGAAAACCAGCAGAATCTAGAGCAGCAGGGCGGAGGTGGCAATTTCCCCTTTTAAATAGGAGGATAGTAAAACCCTGAGGTTTATTTTTTTGGTAAATAAAGTTTGATGTTCTGCATTAGTGTGGCCCAAGCTTGTGTTGTATTGTCTTCCTGCCCAGGGAGGCAGCAGGCACGACTAAGAATCATTGCCCACTTTGCTTCTTCCCCCTCTGGGTGAGTCAGGTGCCTGCTGCCTCCCAGCTGAGATCTCCAGCCCAGCAGTAGAGGCTGGAGCATCATGACATGTATGGGTGCAATGTGAGTGTGAAAATAGCTGTTGTTGTCTATTGTAATGAAGCACGGTGTTATATGTGGAGCGAGCACATCTGTGGAAGAGAGGCAGGTACACTTCTTGGTTATCTCAGAATGACATAGTAATGATACTGGTTTTCATCCTAGCTGGATGCCTGCAGAGTGGGTACAACACTGTGAAATCCTACAGTGTTTTGTAAAGTTAAACGTAAATGGAGAAGTTTTACTCAGACCAGATGCCATTATTTCAATGTGCCAAATGTATTTCTAAGACAGTCCATCTTTTAGAAGATATTTTTGGTAAACTGATCCCTGCTCTTCCATTCCTCTGTCACCAGAATAATTTTATTGGGGTTGCACTTTGAATTACCATTGGGAAGGGGTGGGGGGTGGTGAGTGTAAATAAAACATAAACATTGTAGAATGAGTCTTTGTTTGTATTATCTTCCACAGAAGGAGTGGTGGATATATAGTTTGTTTAGTGGGAAGGGCGCTCAGGTATTTCTACAAGCTGAATAGATAAACTGGTTAACACAGTTTTTGTGGGGCTTAAAACTGGGTGCTTAAATTCTAGTTTCTTTAGTAGCATAAAATCGTATTTAACCCCCTTCTTCCAAGGATTTCAAAGCAAGTGAATGTTTGCAGTATCCTTGTGAAGCAGGTAAATACTGTCAACGTGCAGGTGGGAAGACTGAAGTATCAAGAGTTTCATGATTTGAGATCACAAACAGATGGTGGCAGAGCGAGAATCCCTAAGTCCCAGCTCTCTGTATGATCCTTCAGTTACTAAATAGTTAATTTCTTTTTGGTTTTACTTAACTTCATTTAAATTGCTGTTAAAATCTTCTAGGTTTGAGAAACCTTCCTAGACCTCTCTTGGTGGCTGGTCCTTCAAGTTCTGGAAGCACTGATACTGATGGTGGACTCTTTGCAGTTCCTACAACTCTACCACCCAACAGCCGCCATGGGAAACTGTTCTTGCCTAGCAAAGAAGCAGAACTGACCTTCCGGCAGCACTTAGACACAATCAGTGTAAGTGAGGTGACCGAATGAAAAAAGTAGCATATTGTGCCTGAGCCAGCTTCCAGTAGGTATTACAGGGGTTTTTTGGTTCATCAGAAAGTATGGGCTTCCCTGTGAAGCAGTGCGTCTAGTGATGCTCAAGCATAACACTATATTAGCTGAGATTAGTCAGATTTTGACTGTATAACTATGCTTTGAAGTGACATCACCTCTTCAGACCTGAATCTGAATGCCATCACACAGCCTGATGAAACTGGTTCACTCTCTTTGCTCCAGCAAATATGTTAGCCAGGTTTAGCAAAACTGATACCCTTCTTCTTGTGCAGCTAATTTTAATACAATCTCATTGCTGTATTTAGTTGAAACACTAACTTTATTTATTTTTTTATATATATATATATAATCTCAGTAACAACTTCATAGCAAGCAACAGTAGTTAAGTAGTGAAATGTTTTTTTTGGGAGAAAGCTTTATCTCCATAAAACAAGAATTACAAAAATACATTTGTGATGGAAAATTTTCATGTTCTAGCAAAAAGAATATTCTCCTGTCTAAAACAAAACACAGTATTTTAAATAGTTACACCTTTATTGAAAAACAGAGTTTGGGGGGTATAATTTATTCTCTGTGTGCATGCTTAACATACTTCTTAATGCATTTCCTGTTCTTGTCCAGATGCAGTCAGACTTCTTCTTGCCAAAGCCAAGGAAGTTACGGAACAGGCACTTACGGAAGCCGTTAGTAGTACAGGTCAGAACAATTTGCAAAGTGTGAAATGCCTGTTTTGTTTTCTGAATAGATCAGTAAAGCTATAGTGATTTGCACCTAACTGAAATAAAGAATTGAACTTCCTTCATACATCTGCTGGAAAAGTGAAGCTGAACATATGAAGGAAGAAGCATTTTAGTCTGTATTGTAACCAGCTATGTTATATTCCCTATACGAGGAATGTCAACAACAATAGTAGTCTGGAGGTAGTTTGGAAAAAAAAAACAAAAAAAAAACCCCTCCTTGGAAAGCAGGTTCTGCTGTTTGGGCCTGCTGGTACTGATGCACAAGCAGCGTGTTCATGTGGTGTCCTGATCTGTCAGTGTTAGAGCTGTCAGTGCTATTGCAACAAGATCTCCCTTTAGCTATTTTTTTCCTGCTTCCTACTCACTAATGGTTATTAAACTGGGGTGGTTATAAACCTCTGTAGCACAATAAAGCATAACACTATTTGAAAGAACAATGATTTCTGGAAAAAAAGGGGACTTGCAAAGAGATTTATGTAAGAGGTAGCCTGTTGTCATGGAACTTTGGTGGTAGGCAGGCACTAACCTCCTTTAGACTACTCTGTTAACCAGCAAAAAGGCACATGCCACTGTGAAACCACAGGCAGGTGGACAACATACAAGAAATCTAAAACCAAAATAATGGACGCTTGTTCGGGGAAAACAAAGTTACCAAGTTTCAATATACTCTTTTGTCCCTCCTGCTCTGTATAAAAGTAGGAGACCTAGAAATTACATAGGTACTATTTTTTGGTACTGAGATATTCTGGTCTATGCAATTCCATTTGTTTTGAGAGCTCCCAAGTACATACAGCTGCCTCATTAGTTTACACTTGTTCAATTGTAATGGAAGATCAGTTTGCACACAGACAAGATTCCATCCTTAAGATGACTGCTGTAATTCTTGGGGAGATTTGAAAATTACTGCAAGTGTAATTGGAAAGGAATATAGTTCTAATTAGTATTTCTCTGAGAATTGTCCATGGGGAAATTTTCTCTTAAAGTAGTTTACAGAGAGAACACGTGATTCCTATCTGTAGCTTCTTTCTCAAGATTACACAGACATTATTGCTGTGGGTGTTGCATGATAATCATGCCATTTAAATACTCTACTTATACTGAAAGGTATTGTGAACTTCTGTGCCTTAGAAGATGAGCTTTACCTTCTGTTCTGTGTTTAAATATGTTCTGGTTTATTGTTGTTTCTCTCACGTAGAGAACACTGCTCCCCAGGCCATCTGGAAATCCGTCCCAGCATGTCTGTTCCTTTTCTATTTTATCCAACTCATCCATTACAGGTGAGTCTGCGTATCTTCTAGCTGCCATGAGATGGACTGGGAAGTGTCCCTTAAAACTACATTAAGGAATAATCTCTAAAAAGAGGAAAATACCCTTTCAAAACCACAGAGTCATTTACCAGTTGCTTGAGTCACTTCCTACAGGTTGATGGGATTGTTCTCCTGCATCATTGTTAAGCAAGTCATGATTATGATAGACATTTTTTTTTCTTCCGTTTCCCAGTATTGAAAGCAGGGAATAGTAAGGAGTTCTCTAAAGGAGACAAAATTTTGGAATAAAATACTTGATAAGAATTTTTTTCTGTAGGGTGTAATCATTTGTCTAGATTTTATAATGGACTTTTCCTAGTACCTGGGATACTGTTTACAGTATGATCAATATACTGCTCATTTCTCCTTTTCTGCTGATACACACTTGAGTACAATGGTAGTACAGGTGATCCCCCATCTCGGCTTAAATCTCAAAATCAATATGAGACCTTAAAGGTTACCTTCTTTGAAGGTAATGAAAGCAGCTTCAATAACACAGCAACACTTGCTGTTGCAGTTGTGTGGTAAGGCACTGGTTAGCTTGCATTACTATTTCAAGTCTGTTTCATCATCTCCACTACTTGCATTCCCGGAGCTTGCTACTGCTTGGAATTTTTTGCTTCTGTTGAACTGTGTTGTGCTGTGCTTTAAAGATGTTATATTTCATTTGCTTGAGAGGTATTTAATCCTTCACCCTAGGGAGAGGTTCATTTCGGCCAATCCAGTCCTCACTGACTAAAGCTGCTGTTTCTCGTCCAATTGTGCCCAAAGTTCTTCCAACACAGGCTACCAACCATCTGTCTAGTAAGTCATTTCTTAAACAGAATGTGAGTCACAGTCTGTTGTGATCTGTATGATGTTACATTGTTGGTTTCTGTTCCCTCAGTAGAATCATTAGTGCTTTTGGAAGTTAAAGAAAACGTCTGCGTTAATGATATCTTACTTTCTGTGGCTTTGTGTGACTGCAGAAAGGGAGCAGTCAGTGGTGGGACAGTCTGAACTAGGTTCCTTCACTGTGTCTGACCTGCAGGCAAAGCAAGGGGTTAGAATTTGTAACCACAGTTGAGCACTTTTGTGGTGTTTTGTTGTAAGACTACTTTGAAAAAGGGTTGTGATGTATTTGAAAGAAACTATAAACATCTTATCTACTAATGTGGGATTATGAAGTCTACAAGAAAAAAAACATGCTGGTGTACCCCAAGCAAATACTTCATTTTGCAACGAAAGAATGGGTCCCATAATTAGAATGACTACTGAGGTGAAAACAATGACTGCCTCTGTGTTTTACTTGGAGGATTCTGTGTGATGGGAAGACATTCAGATGGTTTAAGTGGATTGTAAAAGATCTGGGTGAGGTTGACCCTGCAAGGACATGCTTTTTTTTATATAGAGTCTAAATGGCTGCTAGAGATACAAGGTAACAAAATAAGGCTGCATTGTTTTAGAGTTTCATCTAGTAAACTATAGGAAATTTCTAGAAATTGCATAACCAAATACTTAACAATTTGCAGGACAAAAAGAAAAAAATAGAAGGAAAGGGCAGTGGAGAGAACTGGGATGTTTCTCTAAACTGTTTTGATATACCTGATAACATGTTGGAACAGGGCAGAAAAATTAAACATTTTAGCTGAAAGAAGTGTTACACTTTGTGAAGAGGAACAACTGATATAGCTGATCAGATAATTACCACTTTCACTTTTTGCATGTGTTAAGTTTTGACTCTGGGCAATTTTTTAAAAAAATCATCCTTTAGATGAGTCACAACAAAGTAATCGCCTGAAGAAAAGGCTTGTAATGTGTTTTTTTTCTTATTTGTTTCACAAAAGGTGCTATTGACTTGGCAGCTAAAAGTGCTGGTATTATCCCTGGTAGCCCTGTGCCTGTCCTGGATGCAGATGGTTTGTCAGGTGTGTCTCCATTGTCACCAGACGGAGTGGCCACAGTGGTAACAGGGCAGGAGTCAACAGTAGCGCATCAGAACGGAGGCTCCATCACTACTGTAGAGGTCAGAGTCTCTTGAGCATGCTTTTTTAAAGTACTTAAGTGTCTTGCTCTTTGACTGTGTAAAAAAGCTGTGTTATTAATGACTCTTCAATCAGCTTTCTCCTGAAGCTTGCTGTTGGACGCTTTTATCATGGCAAACCCAATCTATGTTGTGTAGTGTGTATTTCAGGGTTGAGGGATCAAATCATCATCACATTGAACAGATTTCCATCCTATAGAATAGCTTTTGCTGTGAGACTGTTGAAGTTGGCTATCCAGAAATCTGGGCTTGAAAAGAAACAGTAGCATTTCAATAAGCAGTAATTCCAGAGGGAATCTGGGGCAAAATATGGACTTTTAGGGATGTATTTGGAATGGAAACTGTGACTTCTCCTTGCCATTTCTTTTATTGAGACCCAGATACATGTTAGTCTGTGTCATTTTCTCAGGGAGTTAATGGACAATTTTGAAAGGCATGATAGTAAAAAAAAGCATGCATAAATGGTGATAGGCACTTGTCTCCTGCCTCCCCAGCTATATTTGCAGCACGTCATGTAAACACTTGGCACTCACATGATTTCTGTTGTGCTTCTAGGGCTCAGGCCCTGGGTGTCGGGTTCCGTTCATCAGCCTACCAACACGGCATGAGCAGGAGTCAGTTCCTGATGGTTTCCAGGTAGAGTATGTGTTGAAAGAACAGTTATATGAAATGGGTAATGTTCTGAAAACACCAATGGTATTACTAGTTAAAACCCCTTGTTCCCAGGTAATTGTACACCATTCATACTGTTTTGTGGAAATTGAAACCTCTAGCATCTGAAGAAATTTAAAGAAAGAAATTTAGGAAGGGTCCTTAAATTTATGTGGGTGCTGTTCTCTAAAAAAGCAAAGCAAAGCTGACCATCTCTGACCTCTGAAGGGCAAACAGTTTTTATGTATTTCTTGATATAGTGGAGAAGTTTATAATTGCTCTGCTATATCATGTGTGTATTTTAGACATAACAAAGAAAAATTTCAGCAATTGGCAGTCCTGCTGCTTGTATGTTTCTGAAGGAGGAATATTAAGACAAGAAGCATGATTGTAATGCCAGCATCCTCTTCAGAGAATCACTTTTCTTTATGCTAGATCCAATAAGACATAGATACTTTAAAAGTAACTGTGGCAGCACCTAAGTTGTAAGAGTGTTGTTGTCCTATCCCCAACTTCCTTCTCCAGTGGGATGCAGGACCTGTGTGAGATACTTAAGTCTCAGATACAGGCTTTTCTTTTTTTCAGTGGAAGCAGTTTCCACCCTTCCTGTGACAGATACATGCAAAAGAGGTCAAATTAATTTGATTGGAAAGCATAAGGGAGAGGAATATTTTTTTTTTTTACAGCACAGATGTTAGGACATGAACCTACTAGGCATTTATTTGTGGTAATGGGGCCTTAGGTTCTGGTTCTTGCTCTCAGGACAACTTTTTATGTACTACATCAGAAAAAAATCACAAACAGTTCTGTGATGAGGTACTAATAACAAGACTCCTTAAAAAAGATCAGTTGAGTTTTGGGAAGTCTGGCTGTAAAGAGGAGTGAGTTAGCAGTTTAAAATATTTATATACTCTCCAAGCAATTCTAGGTTTTTTGCCTACACAAAGGCAAATTAATACTTAATTCTTAAGAACTATCTGTAGGTTCATCAAAATCATGTTAATTTTATTATTATGTTTGTTTCTGTTACGTAGGCTGTATTAAACATTCTTTGGAATGTTACAGACCCATATTTTGTCAGATGATTTGGCAGGATGTGGGCTGAAGCATGTTTGTTCACGCTTACAGATATTTTTCATTAAAATAATACAAATTTATCATATAAATAATATATTCCTAAAATTTTAGAAATATTATCTGCTGAATTATTGGTCCTCTCTTTCTTTTTTTTTTTTTTTTTTTTTTTTTCCCCACCCCTTAATGTCTGATTTTAATCTGATGCTTAGGAGCTAAGCTGCTGCTTTTCAGACAGATTTCCAAGTCCTTCATAAATCTGTGAACAGTTAACTCTTGTTTCTTGAAACAGGGCACATCAGTCCTTTCTCTGTCAGAACTGTCCAAGGCTCCCCTCCAAAATGGTCTTTCCACCCCTCCACTTCCCTCATCAGAGGCTTCCAGTACCCGGCTCTCTCCTCCCAATGTTTCTGCTCTTTTGGATATTTCTCTGCCTGGACCACCTGAAGACGTGCTTTCTCAAGGAGAGCCTGCCACTCAAATCAGTGATTCCATCATTGAAATAGCTATCAGCTCTGGTCAATACAGTAAGTCTGAACTTAGGTAAAGTCTTCCTATTACCTTAAAAAAGAAATCCTGTCATCTCACATGTCAGCAGAAACTTTTCCAGGAAGCAGTTATTGGGTTGGGTCTTTTTTAATACCTGTTGGAAATAAAATTATGTGCCTGGCTTTTATTTTCTAACATATATAGGAGGGTTTATTGTTTGTTGGTGTTTGGTGTTTTGGGGTTTTTTTTCCCTTTCTAAACAGAAATTGGTGCAGTATCCTATAACTTTACCGCATTGACTGAATCAGTGATTCCTGACATTGGCTTACAGGTGAAGGTGTTTCTCTCTCTCCTGCAAAGCTGAACGGCAGTGACAGCTCCAAAAGTCTTCCGTCCCCATCCAGTAGTCCTCAACAGAACTGGATTGCCTCTCCCAGCCATGATCCCCAGTGGTACCCCAATGACTCCACAGACTCGTCTCTCAGCAGCTTGTTTTGTAAGTGTCAGGATGCAGAGAACTGGGGGCGGGGGGGGAGCACTGTTTATTAGAAGTGAATCCTTTGGAAAATTGTAAACCCAGTAGGACGTTTGTAGAATTCTTCCCTTACTTCTTGCTTTCATTTCAACAGTGTTGCCTTGAATACATTTTTTTTTCTCTTTACAAGTCTGTTCCTGAAAAGATCCTGTTGGTAGATTGGGGCCCATACCTTGGGGCAAATAATTCCTTGGCAGTTCTTTGTAGTCTGTTTGGAGCCTGACTCATCAGTTAGGTTGAGACATTTTGGCTGTTCTGCCAAAAGGAAAAGATGCTCTTGGCTCTGCTGTTGGAAAAATAGGCTTCGTTCTGTGCTTGGTGAGCATAATCTCAAAGACATGAGATCACTGGGTTTGTTTGGAGTTTGTTTGGTGGGTTTTTTTAATTAATATTTAATGGGACCGGTGTAATGAGTCTCTGTACTCTTAGCAGTGTGCTGATGGTGTTCATGCTGGTAACACATAATTTTTAAGAGACAGAAGAAATAGATGATTTCTCCTCCGTTTTCTATTTCCTTGTCCTTCTCTTTATGCTCCCAATTGCAAACACTCAGTGCGGTGACTTACTGTCTTTATAGCAAGTTTCATCTCCCCCGAGAAGGGACGAAAAATGTTGCCAACTCCTGTTGGGACTACCAGTGGCACCTCCTTACTGGGACCCAGCCTTCTGGATGGAAACTCACGGGACTCTTTTGTGTCACGGTCTCTGGCAGATGTAGCAGAGGTATGTCATCAAATTACATTCAGCTGTCTGCTTCCTTTTGTAGTGCATATTATTGTATATTGTCCATCATACCTTCCAGAGATACTCAAGGCAAAGACACTTTGACATTTGCACTTTAGCTTAGTAAAACAGGGTTACAGTCTTAACGGAAAGATGTAAAATGACTTGAGGTTATACAGCACCAGAGCTGGTGCAAGAAGCTGTTGTGAGCACCTTTGACCCAGGTTCTTTTTGCTGGGGGAGGTCATGTTTGTGTTGTTGGACATATCTTTGTTTTGACAGAGTGAGTCATAATCCTTCTGGTTTGTGTGTCTTGCTTTGTAGAGCAGGAATAGAAAATACTATTACGGGTGCATGCACAATCAAATCCAACAGGCGTTAAAGCACAGATTTATTCTTCAATAGAAAAGTTATTTAGAACTCCAGTAATATTTTATAAACCACAGGCTCAATGATGTAAAGGGAATTAATACTACACAGCTGACTTAAGAATTCTTAAGATTTAAAATGATGGCTCCAAAACGCGCATATGACTCACCTAAAAGATGAGGGCTCTCTCCCTTGAGGAGTTACCTCAGGCAGTGCCTCGACCCAAGGGGGAGTCCCTGACTGCAGACTGCTTCTCTGAGGAGGACTGATTCCAACATGTCCTCCGGTGGGACCCCGTTTATACCCTTGTCGAATCTGACCTGTGGTCGTTTAATCCCTATTGGCCAAGAAGGTCACCTCAGTGTACCTGGCATGTCTCAATTGGTCAGTTCAAATTTCAACCTGCGGCCTCTAGGGTTTAGGGGTTTTTTTCTCTTCTCCCTGCCTGGAGAAGTTTCGTTTCCTGCTGGGGGGGAGTGTACTGCCGCAATGAGAGAAAGGTTAATACTGATGCAGCTACAGTACAGTTGGAGAACTGGTAGAAAAAAATAAATAAGTCCAGAAGGAAGAAGCAGGAAATGGTTAATACTAAGTTACCTGAGAGAATGGCAAAAGGTGCTATGCTGCTGAGTTATTTTCTCTGTTGGTAGAATTATCCTTCTGTTTCGAAGTCTTTCAAAGGGGTAAAGTGAAGACAGCAGTTATTAAGGCTTTGATACGCTTGAGGATAGAGCTCCCTTTCAGAGGGACAGAGGCAGACTGGAGGAATGAGCTGCAGGAACATTGTGGAATTCAGCAAGGACAAACGCAAAGTCCTGCCCCTGGGAAGGAATAACGCTGATAGCAATATAGGCTGGAGACTGACTGTTTCGGAAACAGCTCTGCTGAGAAGTACCTGGGCATCTTGATAGACAGCAAGCTGAACATGAGCCAGGATGTTCTGTGGCAGCTAAGACCAACAGCGTTGTGGGCTGTTTTAACAGGAGCATAGCCAGTATATTGAACAAAGTGATGATTATCCCACTCTACTCAACAGCTGTGAGACCATGTCTAGAATACTGTGACCAGTTTTGAGCATCAGATACAGGAAGGACATAGATAAACTGGAGCGACTTCAGCAGAGGGCCACCAAGGTGATTAGGGGGCTGAAGCACCTGTCTGTGAGGAAAGGCTGACGGTACTGGGCTTGTTCAACCTGGAGAAGGCTTCAGGGCAGGAGGGCCCCAACTGCCTGCCAGTACTTGATGAAGATGTAGCCAGGCCCTTCACGGAGTGATGATGCGTGGTGAGAGAACAGGCAAAAGCTGAATTGACAAAGGTTCTGACTACATATAGGGAAAAACTTTTTCACCCTGAGGACAGTCAGGCAGGGGAGTAGGTTGCCCAGACATGTTGTGCAGTGTCTGTCTTCAGAGCTTTTTACAACTAACATGGATAAAGCCCTGAGTAAGCTGGATGGTCTTCCTAGGTGACCTAGCTTTGAGCAGGAGGTTGAACTAGAGACCTGTTCAGGTCCCTGCCATTGTTAATTATCCTACAGTTTACAGTGGTTGACTCAGTGTAACGTCATGTACGTTGTAACTTTGTGGGAGCTTGCCGTGATGGAAGGAAAATGTCATTCAACCATTGTCCTTTGGATCTGGATAAGGAGGTTCTGTACAGACCTTGTAACCAGAAGCTGCAGCAAGCTCATGCTGTTTTAATGTGCCCTTGACAGCCTCAGACTCCACACACAGCTCCACTTCCTGGCATAAATATAAAGATTCTGCTTACTTGATGGTGACAATCTGTCAAGGTGTGTGTTAATTAAAGGAATATATGATAATTTATTTGTGTGGATTTGAAGTGACATTGCAGTCCTTGATCTTACAAACTGCCTTCAGTAGAAAATGGGTTAAGCCACCATTTTAGGCACACCAGAGCAGCTGTTGGGGCAGATGTGGGTTTGTGTGGGAGTCTTTAGAGGAAACAAGAATCATTTTAAAATGGCTTTAATGATGGGAGAATTTTGAAAGGTGTTTTATTAAGTGTCCTGCAGAATCCAGTTTTATTTACAAATGCAGTTATTAAGTTAGAGGTAATTATCTATAGAGTTTTTGTACTAGTGTACCTTAATGCTAAATTAAGGATAGGCAGGTAAAGCCCATTGAGACTATAAATTTGGTGGTGGTTTTTTGTTTGTTTTTTTTTTCTTAGAGGCTTCCATTTAGCTATGGATAAAAGCTGTTCTCTAACTCAGATAAAGCAAGATAAAGTGTAGCATTCATATGAGGAGAGGCTGGGAATAAAGATGAGGGAGCCAAACTCTTCTCAAGACAAGAGGCAGCAGGCACAAACTGAAACACTTGAAAATTCTACTGGAACACAACAAAACTTTTTTAATGTGAAGTTGGTCAAACACTGAAACAGGTTGCCCAGAGAAGTTGTGGAATCTCCATTCATGAAGATAATTCAACACCTGGCCAGACAAGGTCCAGGGCAACTTGTTCTAACTGACCCTACTTGAGCAGGATGGTCGGACAAAATGATCCCAAGATGTCCCTTCCAACCTAAACAATTCTATGATTCTGTGAAATTTCTACTAACATCTATCTCTTTTTTTTCTCTCATGTCTCTTCTAGGTGGTGGATTCCCAGCTGGCTTGCATGATGAATGAGAACAGCATAGATTACATATCTCGTTTTAATGACCTTGCCCAGGAACTATCAATACCTGAGCCAACCCGCAGGGAAATTCTCTTCGATGGAGGAGGTGGTGGTCCCCCAATTGGGGATCTCTCACAGTGAGTGTACGAGACCAGCAGGCTGGTATAGACTATTCAGCTAAAGTTGGAGCTTGCAGCGCTGGATCATGGCAAGGGCAGGTTGTAGAGAAGCAGCTGAGGCTCAGTTGTCCCTGTCTTGTGCACTTTTTCCTAAAAGAGAAGCATTGTCTTCAAAGGTCTGAAGAAGTACTTGCAAGTCCTGGAATGTGCAATATATGGGAACAACAAAACATGGAATGGTATTACAGGAAATGGTGTGTCCCCTGCCTCAGTGATATACAATGGCAGATTTATGGGACAGTCCTGGACTTGTACTTTGGAATGGCCTAAGCAAGAAGCTCAAGCAGGGAAGGGTATTGCCAGAAGCTCCCCTACGTGAATTATTTTTTGCGTAGTAATCAAAATGCCATGATTTGGGATCCACATTGAAGTTGTGGAGGATGAAGGGTGGGGGTGGGTATGGGAACCATTTTGCATCTTGACATGTCCTAGTTGGCACTCTTTTTATCAATCAGTCAAACTGAAGTTTCTTGCACTCTCTTCACAGTCGCTGCAACTCTATGATGCTTTGTTTTTTATAGACCATTCTGTTTCTTTGGCTATGTTTTATTGTTTGACCATTCCAGCAGGGGCATGTACCTGCTTTCTTGTTTTGTAGGGGAGCTCTGATTTACCCTACTCCCAGGCTGCATGGATCCTTGGGGAGTTTCTGCTATTTTTAAACCCCATCACGTCACAATCATCATCATCCTGACTGCACTCATATTCTCCACTTTTGAGATTCTTCATCACATTGCACAGTTCATCCCATGAGTGGGAGAGTGCTTTTTTTGCTTTCCCTGAAGAACGGTTGCTTTTTAAGTTGGGAAACACTGCAAAAGAGCTTATTGGAATCACTAGGAAAGCTTTGTCATAATTAGTCTTGGCTTTGCTGGAAACCTGTATATATTGCCACCTTTTGTCACAAAACCCAAGGATTTACCTGGGAGAGGAAATAGGAAAGAATATTGTAATGTATAGAAACAAATAATATGCTAACGCTAAAGTTGTTCAGATCTGTTTCGTGTCATGAAGAGGAGAGGTGTCAAGTCCTAGCTTAATCCCTTAGTCCTTCCTTATTTCCTCCTTGTTCTGTGAATTCCAGGTGCTCTGTAGTACCTCAGGGCATCATTATAGTCACTCCCAGGCACTAGTGGATCTGGTACGCCCTCTACTAAACCCTTATGCATTTAATGTTAGTGTTTTAATATTTGAAAGACCCAGATCCTGATACCAGCAGGTTCAAAGGAATACAGAGTTACTTTCTCTACAGCTGGTTGTCCGTTGATTCTACCTTTATAACTCAGGAGACTTTTCCTATTTCCTTTCCTACCTGTCATGAGAGAGAATACCTTTATTGTGCCCCTTTTTTAAGCACTTGTCTGCTTCTCCAGTAAGAGAATGTCCTTTGGCTATTTTAAGTAGCTCTGAACTTATCCAAGGGGCTAGTCCTATATAAACCTCAACTTTATATTATTAATAAATAAACAAAACTTCTCCATCTCTTAGGCTATTATCAGGGGTTCATTTTCCCAACTTGCACTATACTTGGTGGATGTAGTTCTACCTGCCTTTAGCTACTTTTACAAGGCATTTGACTGGGAGTTTCTCCTTGTAATTTTGCTCACGATGCACTGATTGGATTTGCTCTTTTCCCAGTCACTTTTTTACCTTGCTTTATGTAGATTATTTTTTTTTAACCGCTATATAGTTTGCCTTATGCTTTCTGTTGTTAATAGAAAATGTAACAAGTTCTCTGATGCACCTTTTGTGTGACCCAGAGCAACCTTCCTGATTTCACTCAAAAAGGAGTGAGATTTGGATGACATTCCAAGACCCCATGTATCAGGTTGCTACATTCTGCTCTTTGACATAGAAACCATGCAGACGTGTCAAAACAGCATTAGTGCAATTGGATGTTGCCAACAGGGAGGCAAACCTGTATTACTAGCAAGAAAACGATCATGACTGGAAGAATGGAGAATTTCATACCTGTGAGCTAACTTCCTATTCTGACTGCATGTCATGTGGGATATTAAGTCCTTCTGTCATTATTTCTCTTTCATTATTCTTACAGAGCCTTGTTTTAGAATTCTCATGCAATTATCAAGAAATGATATAAACCTAGAATACAAAAAGTTGAAGGCTGTCAGAAAAATGAATGCTGAGGACTGTATCATTCTGAGCATTCACCCTTGGTATGGCGAGGACACCCCTTAATGTCAAGAGTCACTCCTTCTAAAACTTTTAAGTTTTACTTAGAGTTGAGCTGTATTTTCATTCAGTCTTTCCCAGATTGTTTCCTCTTGGTTTTGGCTTCTTACATTAGCAAGCTGATTATCCTATATGCTGTACCTCCAAAAATCCTTTGGACTTGCAGGACAAAAGTAGAGGGCTCCTACTGTGGCTGTGGATTACAGGACATGCAGGAGGAGATCTGATACATTCTAATCAAGTACTGTATAAAAAAATAAAATAAAATCTGAACACTCATTCTTAAACTTCTAAATATTGAAAGACCAGCCTGATGGTCTCCAGTGTATTTAGGTAGCTTGACAAACATTTCATCTTCTTTGCCCATGCTGGTAATGGAGTGGATGTAGTTGACTCTTAGGTTGTCTAGGAGAATAAGTGCCAGTGTTGTGGTGGAGCACTTGCTTCAAGATCTGTGGAGACTTCCTGCCATCTGGTACAGGGAGGTGTCAAGCTGCCCTTTCTCAGCCCATTCAGTTGTCATAGGGGAATAATAGAATTGCAGAATGAAGTCAGAATAGTGGCTATTTTTAATGACGCCATGTGATCAGAAAACTGTAATGTACTGAACCTTTGCGAGTAGACTTGGACCACCAAGTAATAAAGTGGAAATGACAGAGGTCAGTTCAGCACTCAGAATTTTGTGGTTAGAAATGTGTTTGTCATCAGCTTCTTAAAAGTTGTCATTATGAAACAGAATTTGATTTCAGAAATGTAATGCTTTGCAAACTGCAGTTTAGTAATAAAGCCCTTTCAGGACAAGTAAGTCTTATCAAGGAAAAAAATTAAAAATAACTTGGAGCATTGTGGTAATTTTGAATTGATGCAGAATTTGTTACCCTTAATATGTCAAAGGTCACTTAAACACACTTCTGATTCCACCAGCTCTAGATTTTAGGTGGATGTGCTTTACAGGATTGATCACCATCAGTTTGTGCCTAAGACTGCTAAGTGAAAAATTGGGGGGGTGTCAGAGGGGTGTGTATATACACACACATACATACATGTGTGCTTATGTGTGTGTATATATTTAATCTTTGTTAAACACAAAACTTTTTCAATTTTAATTATTTCAGCTTCCCCAACAGAAGTAACAAAATCTGTATGTGTAACAATGTCAGCTTATCCTAAGCAAGTTATACAGAAATGCACACAGGATTGTTTTTGAGGTAAACATGACTTTGTTAGCTTAATAGCTTCTTGGGGCACTGTAAGGTGGTTGGAGAGGGACACTAACAACCTCCAGTTCTAGTATTAATTGCTCTAGGCTTTCCCCATGTTGGTTTAGTGACTATATACAATAAGGAAGTTCTGAGCAGTTCAGCAAGGTGAATGGCAGAAAATTCAGTATTTGTTGTCATCATAGTCTGGGTGAAAAGCAGTACTACATCCCAAGAACTAGATCCACCCGTGTGTGCATGTGCACACTAACTGGGTTTTCTGCTGGGTGTTGCATCCTCATTACCCACACAATTCGTTTTATCCTTTATCACTAAATCTACTAAGCATAGGAATACTAATTGTTTTTAATATGGCATTGTTAAGCCTTTTTTTCGACACCCCTCTTTATATTTCTAAATTGAACTAAATGGCTTGGATCAAATCTAATCTATAAAGACATCTCATTTACTGACTCCGCAGATCCCAGAGTGGAAATTACGTTGCATTTTGTTTTTTACACTCAGACTTCAGATGCATTTATAAGGAAAGTACTGCACTTTTTTTTAACCTTTTCAAACCTTTGAATCTCTTAATTTCACAGCAATTTGTAAATGTTAACTAAGTGAAACCTTGGCAAGCACTACGGCAATAAGTTATCATTAATTATTGAAACATGATAACTGCTTTAGAGCTTATGGTTCTGGCAGCAAAATTTAATGCTGTTTCTTTTAATAATAGTTAAGCCATATCATCTAAGGTTTCTGGCTTGTTTGAGATGTGAATTTGTTTTATAGATTATAAATATACCTATATAGTGTATGTATAAAGCAGAATGCCTGTCCTTACTGATTATTTTTTGTACCATATTGTAAATTATATTATTTATTCTTTACCAATTTTGGAAAAAGGTGTTTTGGTTATTTAATATAATATACAAAAGCTGTTAAACTTCCTCTGTTTAAATTTCCAATTCAACTTGTAAAGCTGTTTTTATTCTTGTGCATAAATACATACTAATACTTGGTCTAACTTATGTCCGGTGTGTTACTTGCCATTCATGCCTGATCAGATTTTTCCATTTAACCTTTATTTACATAATAATGGCCCCTTTGGGGGGAAGTGGGGGGATAGCGCTAAATATTTGTCCATAAGGTTAAGCCTTCCAAGGTGAAGTTCTGGTTTCAGTGAAATCATTGACATCTCCCATTCCAGAATTTTCATTATTTTCACCATGGTGAGAGAAGTTTTTGGTTGGGGTTTTTTTGCCTTACAGCTTCCATTCCCAATAGTGTCTGCTAACTGTGAGTGTCAGAAATGGGTCAAACCAGAGGGCTGTCTGTCCTGAACGTCCTGTCTTCATCCATGGTCACCAGTAACAAGGGGAAGAAAGGAAAACAAAAACAAACAAACAGAACAAAACAAAAAAAAAACCCAACCGAAAAAAAACAAAATCACCACACCAAGCAAAAGGTACAATAAAAAAGGTATTGTATATCTTGGGTTTTATTTTTTCCCCCCTACCTTTTTTTTCCTTAACAGCTTCAGATAAGCAGGAACTTAGACATAGAGGTTGTATTCAGGCCATCATTTTTTATATAGCCACTACCAGAAAAACTTTTTCAGCCTGAGGACAATCAGGAAGAGCAACAGGTTGCCCTGAGAGGGTTGTGTAGTGTCTGTCTTTGGAGCTTTCCAAGACAAAACTGAATAAAGCCCAGAGGAAGCTGGTCTGATCTAGCTTACCCTGCTTTGAGCAGGAGGTTAAACTCTAGGCCTGAGGTTCCTTTCAAGTTGCATTATCCTGTGATCTATGTCATTAAGTTAACTAACTCCTTTTTGTGTACACCTTTAGGATTTTGGTCTTTGCAATATACAATGGCAGCTTTAGTTTAATTTTGCATTGAGAAGGTGCAAGAGTGTTCTTAAACCAGATGATGAGAAGCAAAGAACATTTTAAAAAGCTCAACAAAACCCTCATTAGTAATACTCTTTGATGCCTCCTTTCCATCCAAAAAGTGAGGACTGAGCCCTAGCATCTGTGTACCAAGAAAACTGGGCTATATGACTGAGTTTGAGCTCTTTCTGTGCAGCTTCTCACCTCCACCATGCTGTGACAAAGGCTCACAGCTATGAGACCTTCAGCTCTTTGCCACCTTATGCCAAAGCTGGTACTGAATCCTGCCACTTTCTTTTCTCACAGATTATCCAATTTTGCCCTTAATGACCAAAACTTAACACTGTAAAAACAGAAAGAATGAATTGGAAGAACAATTAGCAAAGCAAGAAACGAAACAAAGCAAGATGTTGCAGTTAGAGTATGTATTTTTGGTGTGTTGTTTTCTTTGTGTGGTTTGGGGTTTTTAAAGTCCTTCAAGACAAAAGCAGCAATATGGCTGCCTCTCAATTTGCTTCTTGGCATATGGAAAGCAGTGGAGTCCTTGAATAAAACCTTCAGCTGAAACCGTTAACTTGTAATGTTACTATCAATGAAAAATGTTTGGTTAAAAAGGCTGTGCAAACGCTGGCTCTTCGAGTGTAGCTGTACCAGGTCCTGCCAGCCCAGACTCTCCTGGAAAACCGATGGCTGCCCAACGCTGCTTCAGCTGCAGAGCTGTGGTCAATGCATGCACACCACTCCCTGAGACAGGGAAAGAGGTGAACTACAGCGGGTGGATTGTTTATGGTCCGACCACACGCTAGGGTCGATAACCATGTAGGCACGTTGCCTCCCCACCTGCTGCGCTTCGTGAGGCCGAGGCGCAACCCGCTCCTCCCTGACGAAGCTGGGTGAAGCTTCAGCAGTTCCCGACAGACAGGGTGCCGAAGTCGTCAGGTCATACAGTCGACTCCGAGGTTATTTCTTACAGCGGCCTTCCTCCTAATTTTTGCTTTACACCGGCCTTTTCGGGTGAAACGCCCATGCGAGGTCCCCAGGGCCCTGGCTGCGCGGCCCGGGGCCGAGCCCTCTCGGGGCTGTCGCAGCCGTTTGCCGCAGGGCGCCGCCCCTCCCTGGGCAAAAACTGGCCTTTGTCGCCCGAGAGGCCCGGCCGGCTGGGCGCTCGTCCGCGGGGAAGGCACTACGCGCTCCGGAGCGGGCGGCTGACAGCCGGTGGTTGCTGGGCCGCGGCCCCTCAGCGGGAAGGCGACCGGGCCCGCCGCTGACGCCGCACTGCTCTGCCGGACGCTTGCCGTTGGGGTACCACTACCCTACCTGGCCCTTTAAATGCCCTCCCGCCGCTCGGCTCGCTCCTCCTCTCAGCCAATGGCTCTGCAGTCCGCTCTGACGGGCGCGCGGCCTTACCAATGGGAGGCGGCCAGGATGAACGACGACGCGGGCTCCGTTCGAGCTTCCCTCCCTCTGCGAGGCTCGCCGGGCAGGCGGGATTTCGAGAGGGCGGGCTGCGCTCGATAGGCTGCTCGACGCGATGGGCAGGTGGGTTGACCAAGGGTAGGGCAGGGCGGGCCCGCCGGCGCTACCTGCTGTCCAGGCAGCTGAGGCGGAGCGCCGCGCGCGGGGCTGTGGAGTCGATCCTGCCGTCCGCCACCATGTTTCAGGGCCCCGAGGCCGACTCGTCCAAGCCCAGCTCCAGGTGGCGCAGCGGGGGCGGGTGTGGCGGTGCGGGGGTGAAGGGGGAAACGGGAAACGCCGTGCGGCGGCGCGGAGCTTTGTCCGGGGCTTTGTTCGCGGCGCGGGCTCCGGCTGAGGCGCGGCGCCGAGGGCGGGTGCCCGGGCTGAGGGCCGGGAGGCAGAGGGAGCGTGGGGGGCGCTCCGGCTGAGGCGCGGCGCTGAGGGGAGGGAGGCGGGGGGGGGCCTCCAGCTGCCGGGG